AGTGTAAACGCCGGATATTGGAAGAGAAAGTAAGGTGCGTTTCGAATTCCTTGGTACTGTAGCGATTGGAAGGAATTCGAGTACATTGTTCAATGATGAATATTTGCGATCACTCAATTGAGGGCACTATTTCAGTTTAACGGTCAAACCTACGCAGGTTTGGTTGGGGGTTAAGCGTACGAAAAGTTGTTCCCAGATAAATTAGCTGTTTCGGCGACGTAGTTTGCCGAAACAGCTCCTTTTAATTACGTGTGTTCATTTTGATATTAAAGATAATTAAAGGGATTCTTTGCTGTTGTGATTAGAAAGAATTGTTTGTGATTACATAATAATTGTACAGTGTACAGTGACGATCAGTTGCGGATTACTTTTAGTTGACTGAGGGCGCTATTCAAGTTTAACGGTCAAGCCTACGCGCAGTTTGTTTTGGGAGTTGAACTTACGAAAAGTAGTTCTCGTATAATTGGCTGACTAACGTAGTTCGCCAAAACAGTTCTAGTTGCGTGTATTTCGTATTAGGATTCAAAATAGCAACCGAGGCATTTCTTTTATTCTCATTTGTAACCGACTCTAATTTTAGGCTCCCAATCAGGGGAAAAACCTAGAACCTCTAGATCCATATTCTACGTAATGTAAATGAAAAAAGATATATATATATATATTAGATTCTGATAATCAGTCTATGTAACCCACAACTCTCCAAGGTGCATAACCGTGCGTTTGAGACACCCACCAAATCAAAGCTTATTTCATAATCTTATATTTTCCGTTTTATTTTTGTTCATTTATCCTATGACTTTTGGGAGAAAATTCCATCAAAGGATATCATTCCCAAAAAGGAGTCCTGTGGCCCATCGCCATTTTGCAAAATGATGCGTATGCACTCCATTGCAAAATACAGCAATTTTTGGGCCCAATTTCATGCAAATATTACAGAAACACGAGCTCACACTCCTGTGTACGGCTTCCACCCATTTTTTGAACATCAAGTTCAAAGCCCTCAACGGTGTCCACTCTGCGTTTGTAACTCACAAACGCATTGACCTCTAGTTGTGTTTGAATGTTACTGTTGAAACTGAAATGTTAGTACATGTAGGCCTACAGTTGTTACATAAGTTCAGGGTTCTACTTTAGTGGTGGCCCGCTAGCCTAAGTAGCCCGGTTGGCGAGTGAAAAATTATTAGGCTACGGCAAAGATGAAAGGACTGGAAGAAATAAATCATTCAATTCACAAGCAAACCTGTATCAATTTGTGTCTAATTTTAATATTTGTTTAGGGTCAAATTATTTAAACACTGACAAGATTGCCTCAGGATACATATTTTAGGCTATATGTGCACATTCATGTTTATAAGACACTCTTTAGTAACCCACACTCTATGAAAAAAAACCCACACGGGTTGTAAAATTTCAGGGTCTGTTTTAGTAACCCGGCTAGAAAAAAATGTTAAGGGCGAATTTATTTTTGAAAAAAAAAACATTTCGTTTTCACTGTACCTTATAAAGCCTCGACAATGGTAAAAAAATAATAATGGGATAAAGAAAAACAAAAAGTTATGTGGTGTTGACCAAGCATTCAGGGGTCGCGATTGGTTACCAACTCCCATATAGGACTCTTCCTGGGTCTCGGATTCCCCGGCCCACCACACCTCCTTCCCTATCCATCCATGTAACCCCGGAGGGCCAAGCACCGTTAAGGGAGGAAACGAGGCGACACCCTATGCCTTGCTGCCGAGACAGCAAAAGAGCCCCGTACCTATGAGTAGATGCATAACCTGGACTTCGCAGACAGTCCCAGCCGGTGACTTAACTGATTGAGCTAAGGCCGGTTGGTATTTGACGACGGGAAATTAAGACTCTTTAGTAAAATGACTGAGCGCGTGTATTGAAAACCAAAAAATGCACCGCGGTCCGTTTCGAACCCCGGACCCCGCGGTCTGTGGACGATGACTCGTACCACTAGGCTATTGTACATGTACATACGGTCTTCATACTCAGTTGGAAACACTTGGAGGATTGTCAGCTCCAGTCTGCGCTTTGTCTTTGTTTCGAAACTCCCGTCATAAACAAACGATTTAAATGTCTTGTAAAAAACGAACCTGTTTCATGAACATGCACTTTGGCTGAAATTGTGTATTCGTATATGCGGTACATTCGCCGTATTTTCCCCCCGCAAAGTATCGGTCTATTTCCAATACCTTAAACTCTTCAATCCATTAATTTTGTTTCTCTGAATTTTGATATACATCACTCTACTAGGCAAGCTCTTCATCTCTATCCGCCATTTACTGCTTCTTTTGCTTCAAAAAAACGAGGGAACCGAGTGATAGTACTCTCCACTGATCCCTGAAGAATTTGCTATATTTTTACAAATCTATTTTGCTGAATGTTTAACTTGATATATCTTACTATAGTTTTCATATCTTCATAGATTTTTTTCTTCCGCATTACGATTGCTGACTTTTTATATACCAAAACGTGGATATGATGACCTTTTTATTTCTTGAAACAAAATTTCCCCCGTTTTTAGCAGCTTTGTGTAATACGAGTTGACTAACTCAAGTTTTATAAAGTGGAGAACACGCTTGCTGGAATTTTACTGACTGAGTAAAAAAGAAAGAAAAGAAATGGGTAGTTGGTAATTTCTTTCTTTCTTTTTGAAAGGGGGGGGGGTGCCCCCGTTGGCCTCCGCCCAGATTCGCCGTTGCGTATGTATGTCCCTTTTCACTGTGGCATCTTCATTGACAGAGCCAAGGTTTTGACCATTTTTTTTTCAGTGTGACGTCGCAAAAAAAGGCAGCCATGTTGCGTACAGCATTAAAATTAAGCCACCATGCAATGATGCCATGAAAAGTCCTAGTGCCCCCTTGCTTTTCATATCAAATTTGGGGCCGAACATTTTGGACCTACTTTTTCGGGGAACAAAATAATGTTTGGCCCACCCTAAAAAATAACAACCGCTGTGCTGTGGATTTGGCCTTATACAATTATGTGTGCGAGACCAGTACCGGTACTGAACGGTCGCGCTACGTGAAACGAATGGTTAATTGCGAGAAAAGAAACAAAAGAAGAATAGTTTGAGAAAAAAAAAAATAAGGAACAGAGTGCACTGTCAATAGTGTAACGCCCGCTACTGAAAGAGAAAGTAAAGTGTGTTCGAATTCCTCAGCCTGTAGCAATTGGAAAGAACTCTATTACCGAGTACATTGTTCAGTGACGATTACTCGTGGTGATACTCTCAGTCAATACAATTGAGGGCACTATGCAAGTTTAACGGTCAAGCCTACGCAGGTTTGGTTTAGGGTAAAAAGTACGAAAAGTAGTTCAAGCAAAATTAGCTGTTTCGGCGACGTAGCTCGCCGAAACAGCTCCTGCTAGTTACGTGTGTTCATATTTGGATTAAGATAGATAAAGGGGTTCTTTGCTGTTGTTATTAGAAAGAATGGTAAATGATTACATAATAATTGTACAGTGTGCAAAGACGATCGAGTTGCGTGGTTACTTTTAGTTGATTGAGGGCGCTATTCAAGTTTAACGGTCAAGCCTACGCGCAGTTTGTTAGGGGAGTGCAACTTACGAAAAGTAGTCCGCCCAGAATTTGCTGTTTTGGTAACGTAGTTCCCCGAAACAGCTTTTGTTAATTGCGTGTGTTTCACATTAGGATTAAAAAATAGGAAGCTCTCCATTTCTTTGATTGTCATTTCTTATTAACCCTAATTGAATGAGCGCGTGTATAGGAAACCAAAAAATGCAACGAGGTCCGTTTCGAAACCCGGACCCAGCGGTCTGTGGACGATGACCCCAATTTTTTTTTATCCGACTCCTTCCATTCTTGATCTGCGTTTTTGGTATCATGCGTTTTTGGTATCATGGGGGTGAGTCTCAACACATTAATCCAAAAAAAGCGCACCTGTGCGCGACATGTTAATTAAACTCTTAATGTTTGACTTTTTACCGAAGTCCACTGACCCACTTGATCCCGACCTAGGGCAACTTAAGAATGGTCATTTCAGAACTATACTCCCCGACATACCACCAAACCTGTTGTGCTCAAATTGCTATTGAAACTCCACCTAGCTGCTAAGTCGTCGCTTATAAAGTCACAACATGTTGAGTAAGGATGGGTACGTAGAATCCCCAACATAGATTGTTTTTAAAACAATAATAGTAAAAAGTTATAACTAATATACCAGAATATGGGAATAACATATTGACGACGGTGTTGCGTGGAAACAAGATACGAGCCAAGAAAGTTGGTTGCGCGAATATTTGTATGCGCAAATTTGGGGTACTCTACGATACTTACGAATTATTACGAATCTTTGTTTAAAGAATAGAACGGCACGCTCAAACAGGGTCATGATAAATTTACAAAAGATCGATACAAAACCCGCACGGATACAAGTTTGCCGTGATATTATTTATACTAAATACAAGTACATTCGATCAATGCTTAACTTTTTGTATCATTATTAGAAGTAAGGTAATTCTTTAGGCCTAATGTTACAACATGACGCGTGGACGGTTTCCAAACTGGAAGTTCCAACACTGCAAAAAATAACAAAGTACTTCCTAAACATGCCTTTTTTGTATGGTCTTCCCGGACGAATTTTCCCCCCAAAAAATCACAGGAGTTGTTGAGGATATAATACACTTATCCACATTAAAATTAAAACATTGTGATCATTTTTAATGTTGATTATGTAGCGATAAATATGCCCCCTCCCACAACATCGGACCCATTATACACGTGATGGATGCCCGTGCTTGATAATAACACATGGCCGGAACAAACCCCCTGAAAAAAAACCTGACTTTGTAAGATATGGACATCTCATTACATCTCATCTCATGTGTGAATTTTCCCCTAAAAATGCTCAAATAAATTTTTGGAGGATATATCGACATGAAATGTTTGTAGTGATAGCACGTCCCCTTATCAGCTAACGACAGTTGCACGCGCATCTGAACACTGGATTTGTAAACGGTATTTATCCTTTTACAGCATGTGTTCTGCGATCATAGCGTCAACACAGCGTCAAGTTCAACACACGCAGAAGGACGACCCCTCGTAATTTGAAGGGTAATTTTAGGGCTAAGTAATGAGATTTGAACGTCAGTCTATTTTCCAATTGAGTATTTTGTCTTTGTTCAGTGTAATCTCCATTTTTTGCTGAGTTCCGCAGAGTTCCGCACGTTCTGCAAGTTCCGCAAAATACCTGGGCGCTTGCCCGGAAACTTGTGCATTTTTTTGCCGTCAGCAGCTAGCTGGTCATTCCTTCCTCCATGGTCAGATGCAGAGCAGACGCATTTTATGATTTTTGTGTCTCAGTTTTAAAGCCATCCAGATTCAACCATGGGAAGAAAGGTTACGCTCGCAACGTGTACGCTGAATCAGTGGGCAATGGACTTCGAAGGAAACTGCAAACGAATTCTGAAAAGTAAGTTCGTGTGTTGACCAATTCTTCCCTGCACACCGCATGCAGTGTTCACGACAAAGTTGCCCCCAATTCTCAGCATTGCACCAGAGCTGCGAGTACGATTAAAAACGGTCCCCATAACTCCAGCTTAACATGTGCATCGCGGTGATCACAATTTGTTTTATACTGTTGCATTTTGTTGTCTTTCATAATCGTTTTACCCTAAAAAAAAATTCCTCAAAAAATCAATACCCCCCGCTCTTTCTACGACACTATCATGGTTTCAAGTATTGTTAACTCAGTGTTAAAGTTCGCCTGAATGCATGACTTTGTTTACATTTTTGTTTTGTTTACATTTTTGTCATGTATAATCTTATCTTGTTTCTTCAGAATAAACAAACAATTTCCTATTGAAGTAGGCCTACATGTAGTATGTTTCATGTTGTAAAGGCCCTACTTTTTTTCCCACACAAGTTATTTTTTCCCTCAATTGTTTTCACAATTAGTAATCCCTATACAGAATAAAGTAAATTGTTTACCTGATTTCCCCTCCCTCTTTTGTATTTCTTTTAAGAAGAAAAACCTATTTGCAGTATATTTTTATTGGAATGTGTATCTGCCGTGAATTTCAGAGGATACTAATAATTTTACTGCACTTTTTTTAGGAAGGGGGGGGGGGATTCAACAACAAATGATTTAGGCCTACAATTTTACAAAATGCAAGACGTCTCGTTAACAGAACCACAAGCGTGGGTTTCTGTAGATCCTTTGTTCCCATTGTTATGCAGCTCTTGTCAAAATCAACAAAGAAGCTTCCGACCAAGTAAGAAAAACAGTGCGGCAAGGCCGCAAAATGGCCAATTAAATAAGTACAATAGGTTTCAAATGGTTTCTTTAAAATTTAATGGCCATTAGGCCTTAATTTGTATGGCAATGGACTTGATTCATCAGTCAGATACCGTATATTAAATTGAAAGTGAGGTAAACACTTCATTTTCAGAACTTGCGAGTAGTAAGCAACAAAATAAAAGTTCAGTACAAATTAATACCAGTCTGCTCTGATGAATAATTTAAATTTGTGATTAAACATATCCTAATGTTTTAAGCAACATTAAAAAAAATATTAAAAGTGAGGCTTGGGTTTTAAGTCACATTTAAAAAACAAATTTGAAAGTGAGCTTGGAACGCACTCCAATCATAAAATAGTCTGGCACCATCCCATTCAACAGTTTACAATGTATAAAATAGATTCAGGGAACACGATCAAAAATGGCCGCCTCGTGAATAAGGCCTATTTTTTTAACACAAAATGGCAAAAACAAGTCTAACCATTCACATAATGTACATGCAAAGTGTAAAGATGTATCTGCTTGGGGCAGTGTGCTCAAGAAGATGAACAGAATTTCATTTATGAAAACAATTATCACAGTGTTGCTGATGTATGTATGTATGTATGTTTGGATGTGGGAGTGGGCGTACCAGTATTTGAGGTGTAAGAACGGGCAGGTCCTAAATGCCAATTTCCAATTGACGTCAATTGCTGGCTGCTTCTACGCACAATCATGACAGAAAAGGAAGTCAGAATAATAAAGTTAGGCTGTAGTCTGACCACAAGACACTTGTTGTTCAATTTGTGATTTTGTTGTGTCATGCACTTTATTTTGAGACATTGTTTTCAATGTCTTGAGTGGATAATTTGGCTCCCCTTCCCCCCCCCCCCCCAAAAAAAAAAAAATTTTGGCAGAAACTGTTTTCTCCTCCCTACTTTCAAGAAACTTTATTTAAAAAAAATTATGCCTGTAAATATAATGACAACTCAGTTTCTATTTTAAGGTACCGTAAACCAATGGAAGTTGAACTTTATTCTACTAAGTATAATAACATGCAGACTTTTCTTTCATTTTGCAGGCATTGAAATTGCCAAATCAATGGGTGCAAAATATCGCCTTGGCCCAGAACTAGAAATATGGTGAGTTTTGTGTTTACTTTGTACGATGCATCAGCAGAAAATGCAATTATTCTAAATATCCTTTGGGCGCCACATGTACAGGATGTGTACCATTACATGTGCAGTACATTTAAGCCACATGCTAGGGTTTAGAAACTTGTTTTACATTGTATCCTGTTCTAACATGCTACTTGTAATGGACCTTCCTTTTGTTAACGTAACTCCCTAGCGGCTTTTACTAGGAACTGGACCAAGTCCATCAAAATCCATCAATCACTGTGCTTCCAATACAAAACAGTACATGACATAATGGAATCCACCACTGACGCTCTGGTTGACATTCATGGACTTGCTACACATGGCTTTTATCACAATAGCAGTACAGGAAGCTACATTTGTAGGCAAATCAATCGGATACCCCTAGCACTGCTTCAGGCCAGTAGGCCCAAGTCCATCATACTCCATCGATATTTAGTCACGCCAGGCCTCCTGGACCAAGGCCTCCAAAATCCACCAAAATAGGGGGATAGATTTTGATGGAGTTGGGGTGGTTAGCGTTAATTTCTGAAAACCTTTGCAAAGTTTCATGCCTGGTCCACTGCAAGAACATACTGTAACCTATAGCCCATGCTGGATGCAATGTGCCTTTTGTCAGCACTTCAGTTTTTTTTAACACTATCATTGATCATACAGTCGTGAATTTCTATACACCCGAGGACAATGCTTTGTGTTTCCCTTTGCCCCTATAATATAACACTCTCCCATAGACTAAGCTTTTTGTGTCTGTCCTCTATTGTAAAGCCATACATGTACATGCAGTTGAACCAGTTGATTATTTTGTTCTACTCCTGCAGTGGCTATGGATGCAACGATCACTTCTATGAGTCCGATACCTGCCTGCATTCCTTCCAAGTCCTGGCTGAGCTCCTCAAGTCAAAGGTCACTGAGGACATCATATGTGACGTCGGCATGTGAGTCAACTTTTCTGGATTAACCCTTTACAAGTGATGCTGTCTTTCAAATTTATAACTGATAATTATAAAAATATCCAAAATTCTTTTAAAAAAAATTGAAAATGTTAAAATGAGACATCCGGTTTTCTTCACTCTAAATGACTGAGTAGAAATCATTGCATAAAACATTCCTTTTTTTTTTATTTCTCAGGCCTGTTCTTCACAAAGGTGTCCGCTACAACTCCAGGGTGATCTTTCTGAACAGGTACTGAAGTAAAAAGCAACATAATCTCTGTTCATGCTATCTTAGTATTATTTTCAGTACCTGAGGGGTCATTGGTGGAAGGCAGATTAATAATCTTCATTGATAAATACCTAAGGCCCCCAAAAAAGTCTCTGGTTTCTGGTATGGAGCTTGTCCAAAAAGTGGTGCGGCTGACTTTTTTGCTTCAAATGTCGGCTGATGACTGCAAATGGTGCCCGACTAAACTTAGTGCAAATATATGGGAGTCCAGAGAGGCCACATAAAGCTTATTCTCGATCATAACCCCATCTAAAAACACGTTAAAGTTGTGCAGCAGCAGGATTCCAGTCAAACCAGTGAGTTTGGCAGTTTTGAGACATCATCTTTCATTAAAATTTTTTTTTTTCATTTTACCGACGCGCATGGCTACGGCGACGCGTGCGCATACCAGAAACCAGAGACTTTTTTTTTTTGGCCTAAGACAGTTAACGCATTCCTATTGGTCGAAAGCCCGTCATGGGCTTCATGTTGAACGTTCACAATCCTCACGCAGGCAGCACAATATTAACAGTGGGTCAGTATTTCATATTACACCGGCACAGCTGCGTTCTGCGCCACATCGCACCAATCTTGAGTTTATGACGACTCCCGAGTGGGCCATACCCTAACATAGCTAGAGGGGTGAATTTATAATTTGGAATTGTTTTGACTTTTGGACCGAAAGGACTTCGGCTCACATCTTTATCAGATTCCAGACTCCAACTGGTCTTAAACATAGTGTTTAACACCGGCCAAGCTCACATTTATTCCCTTAATCGAATATTTATCTCACAATTTTTTGTGTCATAAATTTCCAGTCTCCTTAAATTTCGTTCTTCTAAAAAAAAAATCTTTTTTTAATTTTAATTTTCTTTAAAGGATTTCCAGTCATAATTTTTCATAGCCGTTTCTAACGTGAGTTTGTCATTCCACCAATATTTTTGATGGAGTGAGGCTGCTGTAATTTTTTGTCATTTTGGAGCTCAAACTGAATAAATTTCCAGTCCGTACATTTAAGTAATATTTTACTCCGCATATCCTTATTTTTCAGACAGATAATACAGTGCCCACATTTTGGCAAGAAGATGTAAATCTAGAACCGTGTTATTTGATTCTCAATGCAGGAAAATACTGTTGATCAAGCCCAAGACTGACATGGCCAACTATGGCAACTACCGTGAGCTGCGATGGTTCAAGGGTTGGGCCAAGGAACGCGTGGTGGAAGAGTACTTCCTGCCAAGGATGATTACAAGGATTACAAATCAGGTATGTAAGATTTATTGCAGATATTAAAAGGAAGATACAACATTTGCAAACATCACAAAACGAAATGATCAAATTATCATGAAATACCTTACTGGATTGTTAGGGAATGACAGTCTAAAGCATCCTGTAAAATCGTGGCTCCTGGTGTGCTATCATTCTCAAGAACAATGGTATTTTTCCAACCCTGGTCGGCCGACCAGCGTTGGAAAAAACTGGCTTTTTTCAAAACCTGCTTCTAATTTTTCATAATTAGTTATTCATTGTTTTCTTTGCAATTGATTGCACACCTGTGAAGAGGTGCAAGTCTGCTAGACTGATTCTCTGACTTTACAATTCCCAAAAGTCTATAAATTGCTCTGTTTCATCTTAAGTGGGGTCGGGGAACCAGACTACAAGAACATGATTGGTTTTCTTGGTTTTTCCAACATCTACAAGCCCAAAACGTGAAACAAGTCATTTTAACAATATTTGCTATAACATACTAATCCTCTAAACCCATTTATTTCTGAAAATTGCAGCAAAAGCAAATGTTGTACATTCCCTTTAAAGGTAGAGTTTATCACATGCAGCTATCCAAAAAGTAACTGACAAAATTTTTATTGCAATGCATACTTAGTCAGTCCTTCTGATTTGAGGTGTGCGATCACACCCCCACACCATCGCATACCTAAAAGCTTCCCGAGAAGTGTGAATAATTGCATGCCTGAACTTCCCTGGACCACAGATCACACACCTAGAAAATCACACACCTAGAAAAAACACACGCCTAGAAAAATCAAGGTGTGCCTTTTTCTACCCGCCTGTGATTTTCAAACCAGAAGGACTGCTTGGTTTAACCAGTTCGCTTCGAAGCCTGTGTTAACACGCACTGGCTGTATTGTACACAGACACGGCTGATGGGTGACATCTAAACACGCTAATCCCTCGTGTCTTTTGTACACACACAGAAAGTCTGTGAAGTTTGTGGAAGCGGACCGTATGTTGATCTTGAATTGGCCCCTGTGCACGGCCTATCCTGCAATTTACACTCCGTTGCAAAGTTGTCACAAGAGTTCTTAACCCTAACCCCCTAGGCCCTTGTTGCTTACAACCATCCTCAATCCTCCAAAATCCTCCAAAATTTTGCAACTCTGCCTACATTTTTCAAAATTGTCAGACAGTCCTGCCTCAAAATGCATTCATCCTCAATCCTCCAAAATCCTCCTCATCCCAAAATTTTGCACTCGTGTTTAAATGAAGGATAACCCAACGCCAAATCCTTCAAAATCATCAGACAGTCCTGCCTCAAAATGCATTCATCCTCAATCCTCCAAAATCCTCTTGTGCTTCAATCACCATTCATCCTCAATCCTCCAAAATCCTCATGTGCTTCAATCACTATTCATCCTCAATCCTCCAGAATCCTCATTTGATTCAATCACCATTTATCCTCAATCCTCTAGAATCCTCCAAAACCGCCAGGAGGATTTTGGAGGAGTGAGGTGGGTTAGGGTTAAGGCACCAGCCACTTTTCTTGCAAGGTAGTCCATATCCAAGACCTTGGCATCCATACTAAACACATTTGGTGGACACTGGACAGTTGAGTACAGAGCAGAATACCTTTTGGTGGATGTTTACATTTTTGTACTTTTGGTAACAATTTTGCATTCAGGTAGAATTGTTAATTCAGACGAACTTTGAGTAAGTTTTTCACAGGTTACTTCTGCAAATTGAATTATGTAAAACTCGAGTGAATACGTTTGGATTTCCTACAAAAATAAAAGTTTGGTTGAATTTAGTTTGTTTCTGTCTGTGTTAGACGACAGTTCCCATTGGAGATGGTGTTATTTCCACCCGAGACACATGCATCGGGACAGAGGTCTGTGAAGGCCTGTGGACAGCTAATAGGTAAGAAACAAGGGAGACTTAGAAAATATAGAGTGGTGTTTCCTAACGTTCACTTCAATGTTTCCCTCGACTTTCCTCATGCAGTGTTGCCAAACTTCTTTGTTAACAAAGTTCAAATTCGTTCATCTAAATACTGGTACTCTTATGTCAACGATGCTTGCTGTTGAACCTTTGTGAACAATTTCAGTGTCATGAAATGTAGTCCGAAATCTAAATACGGTGGCATCCGGAAATTGGGCACAAAATCGGCTGAGTGTTCCCTAATGTGGCACACTTAAATAAATTTTGGAAAATGCCAAATTATGAATTTCTTCCTCCAAATCCTCCGCGGTGCAGAAAACCAGTGTCACATTCTTTTTACTGAAACTTCCAAAAGGCATCTACCCTTATTCAATTGTAAGGTAGTCTGGCTTCTCCTCTCCTCAATCCTTTAAAATCTTCCAGAACAACCTGATGGATTTTGAAGGGTCTAGGAGGGTAAGGGTGAAGCATTGGTAGGACCAGGCACAGCCGTCTCTAACTCTGACAGTATCTGTATTTCAATTTTAGCCCACACATTGGAATGTACTTGGACGGAGTTGAGATTATCACCAATGGTAGCGGCAGCCATCATGAACTCCGCAAAGGTCACGTGGTTACTGACCTGGTCAAAGCAGCCACATACAAGGTACAGTGCTCATGAACATTTTTCTTTGCTAACTGCGTTAAACACTAACTCCCTGGGGATATTTGCTAGGATGCAACCTCCATCCTGCAAAATCTTCCAGCAATCACTGTCAATGTGTTCAGGCAGAGCCAGTGACATCCTGGAGCAGTGCGGAAGGTTTCAAGTATAATCTAGGCCTACATTTGTGATGCGATCAGGCTAAATGAGTCGTTTGTTGGGAATTTTCATTTGGAGATTCAGGCCAAAATAGGACCACTTCATCACATCACTTCATCACATTTCTTGGTGTTCCGACTTCCATAATTTTTGAACTAAAGATGGTATCAGCATGCGGTTTTTACGGCAGTAATGCTGAGATAGTGTGCTTTTCAAATCTGTAAAAAAACTTGACCAGGGTTGACAAACGGCTCATTTAGCTTAATCGCATCACATTTATGCACGGATGAGCATAAACAACACGAGGTCTTGCCAAAGACTTTGACACCGTGCATCCTCCAAAATCAGCCACATACTTTTGCCATATAGCCTCAATCCCGCGAAATCCTCCATTTTGCAAAGAGGACTTTGGAGGATTTGGGAAAGTTAGGGTTAAAGACATGCAGGATCAGTTGAAATTACCCGGAATATTATTTACCGATTTAGCGACGGAAACTTTGCTCAGAGAGAAGGTAGGACTGGTATCAAATTTACCTGTGAAATTATTCCGCCTGAAATGGTTTCATTTGGAAGAAAACAATCATTGAAGGTGGTTTAAGAAAATGTGCCAGTTGGCACACTTATTTTTTACATGCATTAGCAATGGAATCCAGTTATGAGACCACTAATTGTGCATTGTTTTTTCTTTTTCTCAAAATGTAAAGTAATCACTGAGCTAAAATCTCAATAGGTTTAATAGTTGTTATGCACTCTAAGATTTTGAGCACTTTTGTTATGTTTGCATTCCATCGCGTAAAGGCAATCCATTCCATAGTCCGGGAGTTTGAATATTCAAACAATTTTATACATGGCACTGTATTATCCAGTTATTGAATATGGTAAATATTTAGGAGGAAAAACTTAAGAACCATTTATTTGTAAAACCTGATTATTAGCAGTGTACTTAAAGCCAGAGTCATTCATTTGCAGCTATCCAAAAAGTAACTGGCGTAATTATGGTTGAAAAACATGCTTGGTTGAAAGATAGTAAGGGGACGAAACTCCTTGTGAAATTATTCTTTCTGGCAAGCTGTCATTTTGAAGAAATCAACAAAAGAAGGCCTTTCCAACGGTGCTTCTTTAGAAGCACCATAGGAAATTCAAATTAGTAGTTCGTTTTGTTATTTGGCGAAGGGCGCGCAAGCATTGCCACGACGCAAACGTGCGCGCGGTTGCTGTAATTCGTCGGATCAGTGCGCGACATGGAGTAGCTGCAATCGGCTTAGTGAGAACGTGTCTCGCGACGCTGAATTCAGGCCCAATTCAAAACATGATTCAGCAACTTTTGATTTGAAATTGGGATCCTAGAATGTTTTTTTTTCTTGAAATATATAGCTAAAGCTGAGCTGAAACGTCATCAGGTTAGTTGTTCAGCACCCTTCTTTAGATATTGAGCACATCAGTTGCTTCAAACGAACAAAATGCACAAATTACAAATGATGGACTATACCTTTAAACTTTGCACATTTCTTGGTAGTATTCAATCCATTTTTGACACCTGCAATCTTACAGGAAAAAATGCACTTTTAACAACTTAACAAGGAACTCGTTGATTTCTTGCCTGCCAATTCACACCAACAGAGGGCGCTCTCAGCATTCACAAAATAATGTGTGGTTTGATTACAGTGTGGAGGTATCTACATGTATTCCAATCTGAGAGGGTGCGATGGGGAGAGAGTTTACTACGAAGGTGGATCGCTGATTAGCATCAACGGCAGCATTGTCACTAGGGAGATGATTTCTCACTCCGAGATGTGGTAGGTTGACCGAAGACTTACACTGCCTTTCTATGGACAAACAAGTAACATTTTCGCAACCCTTTTAAGCTATTGTGCTACATAGTTAATACGTAATTTGCATTTCAGGAGCAGGTGGAAAGCCCCCCCCCACCCACCCACAAAAAAATTGCATACAACATTTGCTTTTGCTGTAATTTTCAGAGATGGATGGATTTGGGGTTAGTATTTTATAGCAAAGTTATTACAATGACCCGTTTAAAGTTTTGTGTTTATAGATAAAGAAAACAAATGCTGTTCTTGTAGTCTGTTTCCCTGGCCCTACTTTAGACGAAATGGAGTAGTTTATAGACATTGGGGAATTGTCAGTTCAGGGAACCAGACTAGCTGGCTTGCACCCGTTCACGGATGTGTAACCGACTGCCAACCAAATGTGGACTATTTTAAATTTGGTAAATCGGGGGCAGTATTTGAAGAAAAAAAAGTCAGCTTTTTTTCCAAACTTTGCACGGCCGAACACCGTTGAAAATGGATACCAAATTCTACTTTTCTGGAAATGACAGCACACTATATGATGCTTCACAGGATGCTTGAGACTATTATTCACTAACAGTCAAGTATAGTAATTAGTGTTTTTTTTTATGTTTGCAAATGTTGTATATTACCTCTAACTAGTTGATATCACCCTGTGCCTAAAAAGTGAAATGTCATCTCATCCCAATTTCAGTTTTACATGTAGTTTGTGTTGCTTGCAAACAGGCCTTTTTTTCCCCCGTCATGATACCAATCCAACAGATAATGATTCGGTTTTTTTTCTTCTGTCTCTTCATGTTAGGATGTCAACGTGGCTACCTTGGACCTTGAAGACGTCCGAGCCTACAAAGCTCAGATCAGCAGCAACAACCAGTCCTCTGTACGTATCATAGATTTGTTATTGGTATCTAAATTAAGTGGAACAACCTATTAGGCTATTAATTTATAGCAGACATCGTCCCACTGAGCTGTTTAATAGTTTGCGTCCATTGGTGCTGGAAAAACATGAAGACAACTGCTGTACGTACGTTTTGGAAGCCTACTGAGTGTTCAGACTGGTGGCTTACGCTCAGTAGCAGATGTGGTATTCAAAGAAGCTATTTCTTGTCACGGCAGTGGTTCAGTCCGAACCATCGTTAGAACTGATACAAAATTTGTCTTTTCTTGAAAAATGACAGCATGCCGGGTGCTACGATTTCACAGGATGCTTGATGTTATTATTTACTTTTAAACTTTTATGTTTTTTTTTTTTTTGCCACTGGTATACATTACTTTTAAGAAAAATAAGGCACTCATTTAAGAAATTCCTCAATGAGGAGTGACTCGTGTCGTATCTCTTAGGCCAAAAAAAAAAAAATATTTGGTCTCTGGTCAGACCAAAGTTCCAGAATTGACGCGGCCATGCGGCTTTTTTTTTCTTTCGCTTTTTTTTTTTCTTCTTCAAGCTTGGATTGTACAGACAAGGTGGGGTACTATTTTGCTTTTTTGGTGTCCTCATGTACATTGGTGTCCTCCATAATTTGCCTTGGTGCTTTCGATCATTTGCCTTGGTGCAATTTCCCATTCCTTGGTGCTCTTTGTTAAAAAAAATTGAGGAGGTGCGGAAATAGAGGGCGCTGTTGGAGCTACCGCGGAACATTTTGGAAAAAAAAAAGATCGACGCGCATGATTAAAATCGACGCGCGCGCTGACCAGAGACCGACTTATTTATTTTTTTTGGCCTTATCGTTTTTATTTATTCTGCAGGCAAGTGTTCTGAAGTCCTTCCCTCGTATCAAGGTGGAGTTTGCCCTGTCAGGTGATGTGGAATCCTCCCACCGTGTCAGCAAGCCCATCCCATGCATCTTACCCACACCACAGGAGGAGATAGCCAGAGCCCCAGCCTGCTGGCTGTGGGATTACCTCCGCCGTAGTGGCCAGGTGAGTCATGGCTGACTATTTTGTATGAGGAGGAGATAGCCAGAGCCCCAGCCTGCTGGCTGTGGGATTACCTCCGCCGTAGTGTCCAGGTGAGTCATGACTCTCTATTTTGTATGAGGAGGAGATAGCCATAGCCCCAGCCTGCTGGCTGTGGGATTACCTCCGCCGTAGTGTCCAGGTGAGTCATGACTCTCTATTTTGTATGAGGAGGAGATAGCCAGAGCCCCAGCCTGCTGGCTGTGGGATTACCTCCGCCGTAGTGGCCAGGTGAGTCATGGCTGACTATTTTGTATGAGGAGGAGATAGCCAGAGCCCCAGCCTGCTGGCTGTGGGATTACCTCCGCCGTAGTGTCCAGGTGAGTCATGACTCTCTATTTTGTATGAGGAGGAGATAGCCATAGCCCCAGCCTGCTGGCTGTGGGATTACCTCCGCCGTAGTGTCCAGGTGAGTCATGACTCTCTATTTTGTATGAGGAGGAGATAGCCAGAGCCCCAGCCTGCTGGCTGTGGGATTACCTCCGCCGTAGTGGCCAGGTGAGTCATGGCTGACTATTTTGTATGAGGAGGAGATAGCCAGAGCCCCAGCCTGCTGGCTGTGGGATTACCTCCGCCGTAGTGGCCAGGTGAGTCATGGCTGACTATTTTGTATGAGGAGGAGATAGCCAGAGCCCCAGCCTGCTGGCTGTAGGATTACCTCCGCCGTAGTGGCCAGGTGAGTCATGGCTCTCTATTTTGTATGAGGAGGAGATAGCCAGAGCCCCAGCCTGCTGGCTGTGGGATTACCTCCGCCGTAGTGGCCAGGTGAGTCATGGCTGACTATTTTGTATGAGGAGGAGATAGCCAGAGCCCCAGCCTGCTGGCTGTGGGATTACCTCCGCCGTAGTGGCCAGGTGAGTCATGGCTGACTATTTTGTATGAGGAGGAGATAGCCAGAGCCCCAGCCTGCTGGCTGTGGGATTACCTCCGCCGTAGTGGCCAGGTGAGTCATGGCTCACTGTTTTGGATGAGGCGGAGATAGCCAGAGCCCCAGCCTGCTGGCTGTGGGATTACCTACGCCGGAGTGGCCAGGTGAGTCATGACTCACTATTTTGTATGAGGCGGAGATAGCCAGAGCCCCAGCCTGCTGGCTGTGGGATTACCTCCGCCGTAGTGGCCAGGTGAGTCATGGCTCACTGTTTTGGATGAGGCGGAGATAGCCAGAGCCCCAGCCTGCTGGCTGTGGGATTACCTACGCCGGAGTGGCCAGGTGAGTCATGGCTGACTATTTTATATGAGGAGGAGATAGCCAGAGCCCCAGCCTGCTGGCTGTGGGATTACCTCCGCCGTAGTGGCCAGGTGAGTCATGGCTCACTATTTTGTATGAGGAGGAGATAGCCATAGCCCCAGCCTGCTGGCTATGGGATTACCTCCGCCGTAGTGGCCAGGTGAGTCATGGCTGACTATTTTGTATGAGGAGGAGATAGCCAGAGCCCCAGCCTGCTGGCTATGGGATTACCTCCGCCGTAGTGGCCAGGTGAGTCATGGCTCTCTATTTTGTATGAGGAGGAGATAGCCAGAGCCCCAGCCTGCTGGCTGTGGGATTACCTCCGCCGTAGTGGCCAGGTGAGTCATGGCTGACTATTTTGTATGAGGAGGAGATAGCCAGAGCCCCAGCCTGCTGGCTGTGGGACTACCTCCGCCGTAGTGGCCAGGTGAGTCATGGCTCTCTATTTTGTATGAGGAGGAGATAGCCAGAGCCCCAGCCTGCTGGCTGTGGGATTACCTCCGCCGTAGTGGCCAGGTGAGTCATGGCTCTCTATTTTGTATGAGGAGGAGATAGCCAGAGCCCCAGCCTGCTGGCTGTTTGGATTGCCTACGTCGTAGTGGCCAGGTGAGTCATGGCTCACTATTTTGTATGAGGAGGAGATAGCCATAGCCCTGACATGCTTGTTTGTATGTGATATTCCTTTAGGCTGGTTACTTCTTGCCTCTCAGTGGTGGTATAGACAGCTCAGCCACAGCCTGCATTGTTGCTTCCATGTGTCGACTGGTGTGTGCTACAGTCAGTGATGGAGGTATGGTCACATCCAAACAATATTGTCTTTTCATTCTTTCAATTATTTTATGCAATTTTGTAAGCCATATTCTTTATGGGCTCTTTTTTTATTCCCCTTCATACATGAATTTCTTACTAAATCCTAAACGAATAAATTTACAGGGTTCACAACACTATGACAAATCTGTAAACTCCTATATGCCAGCTCACAGACGATTATGTTTAGAGTTCCTTGCGGCCTATACATAGAACAGATTGTCGAAATATTTCTTGAGATCAAGCACTTGGGACTTGGGACTTTCAAAATGGAGGACTTTATTAACAAATTAAGACCCAACGTCTGGGTCTATTTAGCATAGAGGCGGGGACTTCACTTAGACCTAGGCCAGAGATTGGCAACGGCTTTAGGGGTGGTTTTGGGGAGGGAAGTTATGAAAAATAATCTAGGAGGCTATCTCTACTAAAATTGAAATTCAGAATGTCCAGGAGGTTACAATCTTTGATTTCCACTGAATAACAGACTGAGTCCTGAGCGCTATTTCTGTCCAATTTTCTGGTGTTTTTCTATGACCGCTGTTGCAGTGGAGTGGAAGTTGCAGTAAGGTGTTGTTAGGGTTCAAGACAAAAGGAAAATGTGAGAACATCTGAGTGGGCCAGGTAATTCACAAAGTTCTAGCGATATTCAGTTTTCCCCTGACTTTGTCTTGTCTCAGATGAGCAGGTGTTGGAAGACGTCCGGCGCATCACAGCCGACCCCTCCTACCTGCCTACCGACCCACAAGAGCTGGCCGGCAGGATCTTCTTCACCTGTTACCTAGGCACTGTCAACTCATCTGTGGATACGTACACCCGGGCCAAGAACTTGGCTGCCGAGATAGGATGGTAAGAATGGATCAGAGCATATGGTGCAAATCGTGCACTAGTGAAAATATTTACTTTCAATGAGGTCAAAGATATCATGCATTAGTCAGGTTAAATCCCCCGCTCCAGTCAGTTTCTTTGTTTGACTTTATAATTATTTTGCATGCATCTAGTCAGTATGCCTTTGTAAAAAAAAAAGGTAAAAGGTAAAGGTACCCATAGCCATTACTGGCCGTAGGGGCAGTGGGATGTTAGAGGTCCACTGTGTCTTGGGCGCGGCATATGAGTGGCGGTGCCCAGTCCTCTCCTCTCGCCGTCTTACCTTCCCTGAACGAATCAGGTACCCATTTCACTGTTGGGTCGTCAGAGAGAGTTTTCCAGCTTTTGGTCCGAATGGGGTTCGAACCACCAACCTTCCACTCCGTAGCTCCACGTTCTAACCACTCTACAAGACCCCTTTGTAGTTTATTGAATTGTTTGTCGTTAATTGTTAGAGCTATGTAGTTTATGAATGGTTAGTGTACTTGAGTTCACTGTGGCACCCATACTTCACCACAGTGAGCGAGTTACGCTTGTAACCTAGACAAACGTTTCATGCACTTTGAAAGTTGCATGAGGGCAGTAACAGGTGTGGACGTGTCTTAAGACGTTGGCTGTCCGTGTATACTACTGCCTACATGTACATCCAACAGAAATGTTCAACTGTGTGTCCTGGCGAAGAATTTTGAAAGTCGTATTAAACATAAATAATGGTCTAAAAGTACATGGGAACATTTGCTTTTTGTGTGTTTTTTTTTCTGTTTGACAAAATTGTTCAAAATCTTAAGAAGGGTGCATCACAACTAACTTGTTGAAGTTTCAGTTCAGTGGATGCTATACAGTTGGACAAAACAGAGAAAAATACGGTATCCCGTAACTGGATTCCGTTGCTAACGCACATAAAAACTGCCTGCTGGCATATATTCTTAGACCACCTCCAATGATTGTTTTCTTCTGAATGATACCATTTCAGGCGGAATCATTTCAGAGGGTATTTGGTACCAGTCCCATCTTCACTTTGAGCAACTCTTTTTTGTGTGTGCTAAATCGGTAGGTACGTTTCTGGGTAATTGCAAATGTGAACTACGTGTCTTTAAACTACAAGGCATGAATTGAAAGCTTTTTAACGTGACTTTATTTCCCCACAGTAACCACACAGGCATCACCATCGATTCTGCCGTCAACTCCACTGTCAATGTCTTCAACAAAGTCAGCGGTAAAGCGCCCCGGTTCCGCACGGAGGGGGGCAGCCCGAGAGAGAACCTAGCCTTACAGAACGTCCAGGCGCGTACCCGCATGGTGCTATCCTATGTCTTCGCTCAACTCAGCCTGTGGGCCATGGACAAACCGGGGGGTCTGCTTGTACTGGGATCTGCCAACGTGGATGAAAGGTTATTCAATTTTCAAATGTTTGATTTTTTTAATCAATTGTTGTAACCCCACTCTACCAACTGTGCTATCCTGATATATCTGTTGGCAGTCTTCCATGTCAATTCCTTTGTTAAAGGGTGGCTAGTCAGAAGCCATAAACCTGTATATGTGAAGTGGAGAGGGAAGCTTACGATCCACTCGATTTACTTGGATACCATGATACTTGTTTACTGAACTCTATGGTGTGAAGCTGTCTAAAGTATTCCTGCCAAACATGGAACCTAAATTAACAACAGCGGGACAGACTTAAGTCCACATATGTCTCCTTCTTCAGGAGATTGATTCTTGATACAACAGGAAGGATGATGAGTTCAAACTAAAGCTGAGTAATGTCGACATCTTGCGGATTTGCAGATGCGAAAAGCTTGCCGAATTCCTACAGCCTCAGCAAACAAAATACCTAGCCCATCTTGTCAGACAACCAAACACTTACCTCACCAAGCGCCTCTTGTTCAATGAGGACAAGAACCAAAAATCTGGCAGGTAGTCAACATCCACGCCATCACCACTGACAAATTCTTCAAGCGAGCGCTGCGGAGGGAATACTGAAGGTTTTTTTTTGTGTTGGGCGTTGGACTGACTCTCCATGCTTGCTCAACAGCTGCTGTATGCAACTAGAGCTTAACTTGAATGAATGAAATGAATGCTGCCAAAGTCACAATGCTAGTAACATTAAAAATGCCCGTCCTCACTTTTTTATTTTTAAAATACGCAGGAAGGAAATATGGTGTTATGAGATTTTTTTTCTTCCCCTCATGATTTAAGTCTACGTGGGTATCTGACCAAGTACGATTGTTCCAGTGCTGACATCAACCCAATCGGTGGCATCAGCAAGATGGATCTACGCAGCTTCATCAAGTATGCCATGGAGAACTTCAGTCTGCCGTCACTGAGAGGGTAAGGATCATCTTCAATTGGAATGAAATTATAATGAAGAGACAAATGCGCACTTGTTGGGAGACAACGGCAAATGATGTGAGAAACCGACGAGTGCAGTAAATGTTTGCAAAGCTACACCTTCCCCAAGAGCTCAATTGTAAAAAAAAATATTTTTCAGAAATTTCCGTCCGAATAGTGAATTACAATTTTTTCCTTTTTAATGGAGAATGCATTTTTTTTTGTCAAGGATCATGGATGCACCACCAACTGCTGAGTTAGAACCACTCAAGGAGGGACAAGTGGCACAGACAGATGAGGCAAGTACCATCCCCCTGCCAGTCCCCACCCTGTTCCTTGCCTTATTCCCTACCCTGTTTCCCCACCCTGTTCCCTGCCCTGTTTCCTCACCCTGTTCCCTGCCTTGTTTCCCACTCTGTTCCCTGCCCTGCTCCCCACCCTGTTCCCCACCCTGTTCCTTGCCTTATTCCCTACCCTGTTTCCCCACCCTGTTTCCCCACTCCGTTCCAACTCAGTTCCCCGGCCTGTTCCCTGCCCTGTTCTCCACCCTGCTCTCCACCCTGTTGTTTTCATAAAGTGCTGGGGACCCTGTTACTTCTGAAGGCTTGATGATCCTTGAAAGTTCAATGGTCTAAAATGTGCCGTTGGGTTCTTGCATTATGATAGATGAAGGGATTTTCAGATAGGCCCTTCCAAATTCAATGTACTTAGGGTTAATGAGGATTTAGTGTTTATCCCTCTCCAAACTTTTTGGAACGAAAGCTGAGCTTCCACATTATGTCCAGTCATACAGATTGTCAGACGTGCTTGATGGTGTTTAAACTTAGCAATGTTCCTTTGCTTATTGCTTATGCCGTAGGAGGACATGGGAATGACCTATGCAGAGCTATCAATGTACGGTAGAATGAGGAAGATTTCCATGTGTGGACCCTATAGTATGTTCTGCAAGCTGGTCTATGAATGGAAAGACACCTGTACTCCATCACAGGTAAATTCCAACTCCAAAACTATATATACACCGAGATGTGATACACATTCTATAGACTACGGGATTGTAAGAACTGGGCATGTCATTTCAGCTCCAGGTTATGTCTAAGTGATTTGGCAGAGTTCACACCCATTATACACGTGTGTTACTGCTAGTCCTAGCCAAGAAATTTGGACACAGTCTCCGTCCATTCCATGGAAATAAAAAGTAGCAAGGTCAGCTAAAGGCATGCTGACTTAAAGGGAAGATACAACATTTGCGAACATCAAAAAAAAAAATGATTAGATTATCACAAGATACCTTACTGAATTGTTAGGGAAGGACAGTCTAAAGCATTCTGTAAAATCGTGGCTCCTGGTGTGCTGACATTTTCAAGAAAAATGGTATTTTTCCAACAATGGTCGGCCGACCAGCGTTGGAAAAACCTGGCTTTTTTTCAAAAACTGCTCCTAGTTTTCATATTTAGCTATTCCGCATTTTCTTTGCAATTGATTACACACTTATGAAGGGGTACAAGCCTGCTCCTGCTAGACTGATTCTTTAACCTTACAATGCCCCAAAGGATTGCTCTGTTAATATTAAGTGGGGTCAGGGAACCAGACTACAAGAACATGATCGGTTTTCTTGGTTTTTCCAGCATCTACAGGCCCAAGACGTGAAACAAGTCAGTGTAACAATATTTGCTATAACATACTAGTCCTCCAAATCCATTTATTTCTGAAAACTGCAGCAAAGGCGTGAAATCTGCTTAAGCTTTTTTTGTCTACTAAAGTAACATAACTTTTCTGCTAACTGTTAAGTAGCCCCAAGTCTAGTGGACTCACTGACTTCTACAAATGTCGGTTTGTTCATTTGAGTTTCACTTGCTAATATTTGAATAACTTTTTTTCTGCACTATTTGGATAAATGTTAGTCGCTTTGGAAAACGATCCTGTGGGGCTTTGAAAAATCGATATGTGGCGCGAATATTCGGGAATGTTTTACATTGCCTTATCTAGCTCCCAGACATATTACTTCAAACTCAATGTTATTGAGTCTGGAGTGCTGAGTGGTCACACACAGCAACTGATGAAAACGCACGCGCTAATGAAAAGATGTTTTCATCGGCTCGGCTGATCAGGACGTAATGCTGACCACATGCATTGCAACCTCTTACTTTTACGTAGGTGGCGGAGAAGGTGAAGCATTTCTTCCGCTGTTACTCCATCAATCGGCACAAGATGACCACGCTGACTCCAGCCTACCATGCCGAGAGCTACGCCACGGATGATAACCGATTCGATCTGAGGCAGTTTCTGTACAATACCAAGTGGTCCTGGCAGTTCAAGTGCATTGATGAGGAGGTAGGCAAGGCTTAGTGGGGCTTTTGGGGCTTTTGGGGAGGGGGTTAAAGCTGCACTTCCTTTTATGTTGTTTATCAAGTCTTATCAAATCAGCCAAATGTGTTCTGTGTTAGGCCTGAAGCGTAATAGAAAATCGAAGTCTGGCGTCAGCTGTCTTTGTTCTGGTTCACGCGCCGATTCGCGTGCTGATGTCTTCACACACTTCAGCTATGAGTGTGAACCAAAATATGCAGCACACTTTGGTACTCTGATTTCACGCTTTGTTTACATGTGCACTTTCTTATGGGAGTCAGTTGGGGATGAGAGACACAAGCTCCCAAGAAAGTGCACATGTGTTAACCCTCCTAGTGGGAAGTCAATATTCAGAGCAATATTTAAAACCCTTTAAAACCCTGCAGGTCAGTTTCAGGTGAAGGGATACGAAGTGTATTTTCTGTCACGCAGAGAGTCACTACACACAAAGCAGCACTGTGGAGAGCAGTGAAGCGTGACCGAATCGGACTACTTCCCCTGATGAACTTAGCCACACAAAAGCAATGTGCATCATTTCAAAGTGTTATCCATACTCTACAGAAGATTACCTCAACGGAATTTGAAGTGTGGGTGCTAACTCTATGGGCAAAAGTGCCATTGCAAAAACTTGAAGGGTTGTGAAGTGCAGCAGACTAGGAGGGTTAAACCAGCCTCACTTATACAGTTTTTGGTTACTTTTTCAGGTTAAAAGATTGAACGAGCAGAAATCCAAAGAGACTAAGGGACAGGAAAAACAATCGGATGTCTCCGATGGACCGTCCAAAGCTGGCGCTACCCCTAACAAGGTCACCCAAGGTCAAAGGGTCACAGCAAGTAACGAATCACCCCCTGGCATCCCCATGGAACCCACTGTGATTGTGGCAACGGTGACCAGCGAAGCCGGTAGTCCGTCCGACGATTCTTCCACTAGCAGTCCAACGTCCGCAGATGACACGGCCGGCTCCCGAACGAGGAGGAAACGCGGCCACGCTGCCAAATCCCCCGAGAGCTCGCCCCAGGACGACTCCCCTAAGAAGAGGCGGACAACGGAACTCGGCAACGGCAACAACAATAACGGGAACGGTAGCCATAGTGACGGGGAACTGTCGCCGTGGAAACGCATGGGAAACTGGCTGAAACACCAAGTGTCCAATGGAGAGAAGCAAAGTAGAAGCAGGAAACGCAACACAAAGACCAAATAAAAATAAGTGATCGCAAAGGGTGAACATAGACATAACCAGTGCACTGTTCAAGTTGCATCCCCGTGCTCTTCAATAAATTCGATTTTTTTTTTTATTAACCCTAACATTCCCAAATTCTCTTTGCAAAATGGAGGATTTTGCAGGATTGAGGCTATATGACAAAAGTGTGTGGCTGATTTTGGAGGATGCACTGTGTCAAGGTCTTACGCCGGACCTTGTGTTGTTTATGCATACATTTAGGCCTATATTATACTTGAAATCCTCCGCACTGCTCCAGGATATCACTGACTCTGCCTCAACATACTGACAGTGATTGCTGGAGGATTTTGCAGGATTGAGGCAGTGGTCACCCCTCCAAGGACCACATTCAAGAAATAAGGGATGCTTTTGGAGGATTGAAGCTGTATGCAATTTTTACATGGAGGCATTTGGAGGATATTGCAGGATTGAGATTACATCCTAGCAAAAATGCCTAGGGAGTTAGAGTTAATACATTTTCAACTTGTATATTTAATTTCAACCAAAAATCTCATTTTTTCCTCATTTTGACGTCTGCAAACCTATGAAAAAGAGCAGACTGGCTCCCGGTACTCCGCATATTATCGATACTGATTGTGGAGCGGGAACCAACCTACCCCTGATAGGACAAAATTATTGTCTGGCAGGCAATTATTTGAAATTGTAAAGTAATGATTCAATAACCAAACATGGGCCATTTTTTTTTCAGTTTGATGCCGCATTCAAAAGTGAATAACTTTTGTATTGCTAGAAAAATAGCAATTTAATAGAAAAGGAATCTTTTTTGGGAGGAAACTCGAAAATAACACGGAGAATGACCTTTAAAACCAAATTTGACTTGGTGAAATGATCTTTAAATGATGGACGTTCATCAGTAATTTCATCCTCTGAAATATGGAAAGGCTCTTCTTAAGAAGTATATCATGCCCTTTTAGAGGACAAATTGGGTTGATTATGGAAATACAGGGTGGTGCAAAAAGAAGGAAACCCACTCTTGACAGGAATTTTAACCTACTTACTTAACTTATTTGAACTGGTTTTTTTTTTATAATGTGAAGTATAGCTCTTCAACCATACATGGTGAAAAAAATCTTTTAAAACAACTGCAAGAATAGTGTTATTATACTAATTTGAATACAAGTCACCAAAATCACTGTTGTCAGCGTGTAAGTCGAGCGTAGTGTTTTTTGTCTTCAAATCAAGCTCCAGAGCTCAGTCGAGCGGATGGAATTAAAGCCGTCCGTAGACAACCAGAAATGTTTAAACTACCATATCTCAGAGACAATCATTTGCAATCATTTCTATGTCAATTATGTTTAAAGACAAATATTTTAATTACCATCAAATTCAATTTTTGAAATATGAATAATTTGTTAAAAGACAAATATTTTAATTACCATTAAATTGAATTTTTGAAATATGCTCAACAAGTAGGTGAACATTGCTGTCAAAAGTGGGTTTCCTTCTTTTTGCACTACCCTGTAGAGAAAATTCCAACCGTTTTATTATGGATTTTTCAGATTTTTTTTCTTTTTTAAATAAAATATATTGACAAAAATGCCTTTATATATCGTTGATAAAATTGTATGAAGGAATTTACGTGTATATATGGCATGATTATCAGAAATGTTTGTTTTTCTTAAGGTTGCTTGTGCCTTATTTGTATTCAGAATGTTCAGTAAGGAAATAGTTTATATTTATAAATTGTTGTAACCTGTGAATGCCTTGCACAGGCTATCTCAGTGTGTTTTTATTATCAACTAGCCGAATACCACACTTTGCACAGCAAACTCTAGCAGGGTGGAGTCATAAAGTTTGTATTGTAAAAATGTTTTAAATTACATTTTAAAAAACTCAAAAAATTGCCAAAAACCTAACCACACCTGTTTTACCTCCTTTCAAACTGGACCTTATTTATTCCCACTGTTGAACTATAGAAAGAATATTACATGTTAGTCCAGGTCTCTAATAATGACATAGTTATTCATTGTCTAGTCTTTCATACTTAATATTAAATGTATATTGCAAGCCGTTACGCAAAAGTGGTACATCTTTGGCAAGTCCACAGTCATGTTATTCTTTTTTTATATCCTGGAAGTCACATCCAGGCTTAACAAACTCGGACTGTTTCTTTTATAAACAAGTCCACAGTATTTGATACCAAAGCTTTACAATGTGCCATTAGTCTTTTAGCAATCTGCATGCATCAGATTTTATTTCTCGGAGTCTGTAAGTTTATTTATGCACTAATTCAAGATACAATGTACCTGTCTTTCCTGTGCATGCCTTGAGTAAATGGAGAGTGCCGAGATATTTGCACGTTTCTGCTTTTGGAAATTCAATGAAATTGCATGTTAGTTACTGCATGCAATGCACGATGTATTCAGATTATTATTAGCAGTGTATTTCAAAGGATTATGTATGGGTAACAATTGTAAAAAAGCAAAAGGTATGTATGTATGAATACATGTGTATGTTTTTCCTATTACTTCAACTCTTGTATCGTTCAGTTTCCATGACAAGATACTTTTACTTCGTTCAAGAACGGCATTGGGCTCCTTTTGTTCATTCCGAATTCAATAGATTTCATTTTTGGTGCAGTGTAATTCACGAATGTAACATCCTAATTCATCCAAGTCTTAGGAAATTCGTCTCATGTAGAGTTAGCACTGAATTTAAAAAAGCAAATTTGTGATGCGATCAAGCTCAATGAGTCATTTATCGACCCGGGTCAAATTTTGTTTGACAGATCTGAAATGAGCACAATTCAGCATTACTGCTGTGGAAACCCATACTGATACCATCTTTAGTTAAAAAAATTATGGAAGTCGGAACACCAAGAGATGTGATGAAGTGATGTGATGAAGTGGCCCCATCTCCAAATGAAAATTCCCGACAAACGACTCATGTAGCTTGATCGCATCACATTTGTTCATCATTCACTTTATATACATGTATGCTTCAGTTATTCAATTCTTTAGTGACAATTAAGTTGCAGCGTTGAGGTCAGGTATGTTTCAAATCTGTTTGGCTTTCTTTTAATGATTAAGTTGGTTTCGTCAAATAGTTTCCACTTTTGCTTTCGATATTACTGCACACACTGAATATAAATGTCCGAAGAGCGAAAAATGATTAAAAGAACAAATAAATGTAAGCTTCATTTCAAAAGCCATTTCCACGAGACGAAATTCCTATAATTCAGACGAAATTAGAATGCTATATTTGTGAATTACACTAGACCAAATATATATACTCCTGTTAATCAGAAATCGGAATCATCAGCTGAACCGAACAATGTTATGAACAACGAAATTATAGTATCTTTCCACAGACTTTGAATGCTACATGTGCTTAGATAAGCAGGAAAACCTATGTTTAATTATTGCTCCATGAAAATGTGTGTGATTACCATTTTCTGGAAATGCTGGTATAAGGAGACAGTTGTGTACAATTTGCAAGTTGGTCAATAAAAAAAGAAGATAATGAAATTGTAAGTGTCTTTGTTTTCAATGATTCTAATGTTTTATGCACTTTGTATTAAAAAATTGACTGTTTGTAAAAAGTCAGTCTTTTTTTTCCTGCAACTTCTAAACAATTCCAATCAATTTAATGAAGAGCAAAGAGATACCCTTTACTATTCAAGTTTAGGTTAACCAGTGCGGGTGCACAATTAGCTCTCGCCATCTTGCATGAAAGTCTGGCATGAATTGAAATCTATCAAAATGATCCCTGCCAGAGCTTAAAAATGGGACGCCCAAAAAATGTGACGCTGATGGCACGTATCGAACACCGTACTTAAAGGGAATATACAACATTTGCAAACATCAAAAAACAAAAATAACGAATTATTATGAAACACCTTACTTAACTTTTACTGAATGACAGTCTAAAGTATCCTGTAAAATCACGGCACCTGGTGTGCCGTCATTTTCAAGAAAAGTGGTATTTTTGTATCAATTTCCTGACTGTTTTCCAACTACTTCCCCCTTTTACCAAATTTTCAGTCCACATGTTGTTCGCAGTTGGTTACACGTCTGGGAACAGGTGCAAGCCGGTTAGCTAGTTTCCTGACCTTACAATTCCCCAAAGTCTATAAATTGCTCCGTTTCATCTTAAGTGGGGTCAGGGAACCAGACTTCATGAACATGATTGTTTTCTTGGTTTTTCCAGCATCTACGAACACAAAACTTTTAAAAAGTCATTGAAACAATATATTTGTATTTTCCCTTTAAAGGGAATGTACAACATTTGCTTTTGCTGCACTTGTCAGAAACAAATCGATTTGGAGGATTAGTATGTTATAGCAAATATTGTTAAACTGACTTGTTTCACGTTTTGGGCTTGTATATGCTGGATAAACCAAGACAACAAATCATGTTCTTGTAGTCTGGTTCCCTGACCCTACTTAAGATGAAACGGAGAAATGTAAAGACTTTTGGGAATTGTAAGGTCAAAGAATCAGTCTAGCAGGCTTGTACCCCTTCACAAGTGTGTAATCTATTGCAAAGAAATGCAGAATAACTAAATATGAAAAAGTAGGAGCAGTTTTTGAAAAAAGCCAGTTTTCTCCAACGCTGGTCGGCCGACCAGCGTTGGAAAAATACAGTTTTTCTTGAAAATGTCAGCACACCAGGAGCCACCATTTTACAGGATGCTTTAGACTGTCAACCCCTAGCAATTCAGTAAGGTGGCATGGGTGGCTTGTGCGTAAAGCGCTCGCCTCTCACCAAGGTGACCACGGTTCGAATCCTGGCCGCGGATCGCATGTGAATAGAGTTGTGCGTTGGTTCTCTCCTGTGCCACGAGGGTTTTTCTCCGGGCCCTCCGGTTTTCTTCCCTCCGGAAAAATCAAACACTTTCGATCTTAGGCTGTGCTCCGTGGTCATATATGGGTCGATGTGGCCGGCAGCCATAGGCGCCTTTACGTGCCAGCGGCCCGACCATGTTGTAGCCACGTCCTTCGCAATTCAGCATACCAGCTGCGAGTAAGGATGATTAGCCTCCCAAATTATTATTATTATTATTATAAGATATTTCGTGATAATTTGATCATTTTTTTTTTGATGTTTGCAAATGTTGTATCTTCCCTTTAAAATGTATACATGATTTATAGTGGTTTGTGATAAATACCATACAACTATAACATCACTGCACAAATCGTGCCTTCTTTTACAATCTAATCATTAGCATCTTTCCGAATTGTTTCATTTTCTTGTATTTAATTTATTTTGTTTCCTTGTTTAGAAAATTAATATTTGGTAGTTATATTTCATGGGAAACTCAGGGGGGCTTACATTTGTATTTTGGTCAATTTTCGGGCGCAGACATATGCAAAACAAACGCGCATGCGATTGAAACAAAATTGATGTTCCAAAAACCATCAGCAAGAGTGTATTTTATGACAGCATGGCATTTGGACAATTACTAAATTATTTTGGGTCAATTGCTTATTTTAGTCATTTTTCGGGGACCGACCGACGTCCCAGTGACATGTAGAAGCTCCTGACAGAGCTTAAAGGGAATATACAACATTTGCAAACATTGAAAAATAAAACTACCAAGTTTTTACGAAACACCTTACTAGGATGTTGGTAAATGACAGTCTAAAGCATCCTGTAAAATTATGGCACCTGGTGTGAAGTCATTTTCAAGAAAATAGTATTTTTGTATACATTTCCAATGGTGGTCGGCTGACCACTGTGGAAAAACCTAACTATTTTTCAACTACTGCTCCACATTTGCCATTTTTTTTTCAGTCCAAATTTTGTTTCCTGTTGGTTAAGTGTTCATGAATGGGTGCAGGCCAGCTAGCTAACCTTACAATTTTCCGGCATCTATAAATTGATCCTTTTCATCTTTAGTGGAGTCAGGGAACAAGACTACTGGAACATTTTTGTTTTTCTTTGTTTTTCCAGCATTTTCAAACACAAAACTTCAAACATGTCAGTGTAACAATATTTGATCTATTATACTAACCCCTCAAATGGTTCATTTCTGAAAATTACAGCAAAAGCCAATGATGTATATTCCCTTTAAAAAGACAAAAGTGTTAGCAGTCTTTTCAGATTTTTCTAGATTTCACTAGTAAATTGCTGTTACAAAAACCAAAGACGTCATAACTCCCCCCCCCCCAAGAATACCCCCCCCCAAAAAAAACCCAACCCACACCCCGAAAGAAAATACGCTTAAACAAGACCGTGAATAAGAACAAGTCATTGTTTGTCCACAAATCAAACCATTCAAGAATTTATTTAACATGATTGCTACATTTATCATCTGTTTCCATAAAAATTGTCAAAATCACAATATTTTTTTTAAAGATTATAAAACTTTACACTACCCTGAAATCTTGACAAATTGGATATCACGATTATTCCTCTCGTAATCTGGGGCAATTTGGGATGTAGTAAAAACGTTATAGTTTAAGTGTTATATTCACAAGAGCTCCATTATGCAATGACACACCAAATGCGCAGACTGGTTAGCATACGGAGTGAAGCACGCATAACTTCAATTGACCTATCTCGGCAGAAATGCGTTAGAATTGCATCAACGCATCTCATGAAATTATTGTCCAATTACATGATGTACAAATTGACACAGACCGCGCAAAATCTGAGACAAACAAAACTTAGCACACAAAAACTCCATAGGGTTGTCTAAGGGGCGTGGCTAACTCGCAAACGGTGATAGGTCAATTGGTCAATAAGGCAAAACAAAATTGTGTGTTTACAGTAAGGCCCTAAAATCTATCCAGGTAGGATTAGATTGGAAAACAATTCCATTTTGTAACATTTTATGTTTGTTGATCTTTCAGACCTACACGTACTTTGTTTACCATAAGTACCTTTAACACTACTCTGTTTAATTAACCTGGTTATTTGTTTAATTAACAAATAACACACAGAAAGATCCCATAGGGAAGACTTCATTTTAAAAATACACTTTATTTAAAATCTTTGGCCAAATCTGCTAAAAAGAAAATCCAGATAGGTCGGGCTACCGTAAACACACAACAAATTTACTAGTCCTAACCCATATCATCTTTGTGTGAGTTTGGGCTTACTGTAGCGATTGTGTTCAAGAGTATCTCTGTGCAAGGGCAGATCCAGGGGGGGGGGGAGGCCAACAGGGGCCATGCCCCCCCCCCCCCAAACCAACCCATTTTTTTTTTAAAGTGACGTCGCAATAAAGGCAGGCACTGCTTACACCACCATCTTTTCCTCCCAAAAAATTAGTCAAAGTGGTCAGAAATTGCCTCAGATCGCACCACAGAGCATCTAGAATCCCCAAAATGTTGGAGGCCTTTGAGCGTAAATTTTTGGACCCACTTTTTGGGGGGACCAACATTTTTGGGTCCCCCCCAAAAATTGTGTTCTGGATCCACCCTTGTCTCTGTGCCACTATTGAGAAGGTACTTGTGCATGGACACCATAGGCCCTTCTAATTTTCTCCCAAAATTTTCAATTATTATTATCTCTGGTGAACTACAAAACAGTTTTTTCTTTCTTATAATGTAACATAATGATCAAAGGCAGCTGACAGTTTATTTACATTTCACAACTGAATGTTCTCGGCAGGACATAATGATACGTATCTGATAAAAATCACAAACCCAACTCGTCGGAAGAAAACAATCTTGTTGGCAAGAGAAATGGCCGAGGAAAAAAAATACATAGTCTTCAAAATGTTTGATGACTCTAAAAGAGAAACTGTATAACTTCCTCCAACAAAACCATGAAGATGTTTAAAATTAGGTTTTTGTACCTATCAATTAGTAGCAGTGCAGCTTCGAGTTGAAGAACAAGTGAAAAAAAATCAATGTTTCTGTTAAATTTTCCAAAATTCCAAAAAAACTGCAGGGTCTGAAACTGCTCGGCCAAACCCCTACTTTACACAAGGCATCAAAAATACTCTGCGATTTGTGTGTTTTTCTTTTGATCCTTGATTCTGAATGGAGCCAGACATAACAATCATTTTAATTTATAAAAAAACATCCTACTTGTTTATCCAAACATTTGGAGCATGATCAACTAATATCAATCAAACACTGTAATAGCAAGTTTTATAAGTCCAATAATAAGTGTAATATCCACACATCTCAAAAACAGTAACTAAAAAATACTGTATCCAGACAGTCATTCACACTTATCAAATGCTGTAAAAAAAGAAAGAAAAAGAAAAGAAAAGCGACACAAGAAACTAAATATGTACAGTGAAAAAGGAAATACCATCGCGTGGCACGAGTCAAGCACACTAGGGCTGTGCGGAACATGAATTACTCAAATATTCAATCATCAATCAAATGTCTGAATATTCAAATATTCAAAAAAAATGTGAGTGGTCTCGAGAAGATGATGAAAAATGTCCACGATGTCCTATAAAAAGCACATGATTTCAGAGCTTCCATGACAAAAATTAGCTCAAAATTTCTTCTGTAAATTATCAGCCATTCTGCTGTGTCTTCTCAAGGTTTGAAAGCGCAGGCATACATAAATCCCCACTGGCAGCCAGTTTAGGCTGGCGGTGTAAAACTTGATCAGTGCATTCTGAATATTTGAATATTCAATCAAGTCCCAATTAGAATATTTGAATATTCGATCAAGTCCAAGTTAGAATAATTGAATACTCAATTATTCAAACATGCACAGCCCTAAAGCACACTGTGAGCTATGTCGATTAAGTTTTTCTGTCCATCAAGAAAAGCGCTGGAAGCGTTTTATCTCCGTTCTGCCTACGGATGTCATGCCAGGACCCTAGCATTCGATGGGTGTTCCGCAGACTCTTTCCTCTCTCCTGGGCCCGCATGGCTGGCCGCTCCCCCGCGCCTTCTTCTTGATCTTTCTCATTCGGATCTGGGTGCCGTCGTTGCCGCAGGTGACGCTGCACGGTGTCCACTCGCCCCAATCGGACATCATGCAGTCGCGAGCTGACACAAACCAAACAAAATAATCAGAATACTAAAAATCCTCAACAGGAGTGAGATTGCAAGAAGATCAAAATGTCACAAAATAATTGGCATGGCTCTGAATGTCACCAAAGGCCCCAGCCCCAGAGCAACGTAGGGTCTGTGGTATATGTTTGTATCTATGCCTTAGAGCAGCCCTTAAAATATTCATTTCTTATGCCTTCTATCAAATTTTGTAGGTAAAAACACCTTTACGGTAAAACCTCTGGAATTGCACGTTTCAAAATGGAGTCTTTAAAAATCCTTCAGGACAAAAATCCCCAAAGCAGGAAAAAATACTGATAAATCTCACCCTTCTTTGAAAATGATTCTGCCATGACTAAGACCTTGTACACTACATGCTGTAACTTTCAACCTGTTACAGACCCTATGCATGAACATAATATGGCCCATGGGTTGGGGGGGGGCCAACATATTTTTGCTTGGCACATAAATTTGTTTCACAGCTTCAAGAAACCCACTCTAGGTCCGTACCTGTTGTTTGCACTGTCTTTTAGTTACAAAACTCAAAAACATGGCTAAAATGCCCAATATGTACTACAGGGTGGTCCAATTTTTTTGCTCCACTTTTTCAAAGGCAGATTTCTCAAAAGTAAAGGGACATGTTAAAATTCTTTCAAGATATTCCTAAAATACAAGATCTTGGTGGTATATGGTGAAAACGGCGTTGAATATGGTGAAAACGGCGTTAAATATAAAGCTCAAAGTAAGAAATAGCGGGCATTTACAGACAAATGGTCCAAAACAAGTTTGTCCACATCTATGGCAGTCATGTAGACCTAATTACAATTATTGCGGTTCTTTGTGCGTGCAGTGCTATTGTGTTGACCATATCTCATAGACTTGTGCGTGGACAAACTGGTGTATGACCATCTTTCTTTAAACCATCACCATTTCTTAATTTAGGCTTTATTTTCAGCGCTGTTTCCACCATATACCATGACGATACTGTGGTTTAGGAATATCTTGAAACAATGTTAACATGTCTCCCCAATTCCAAGAAATCTGCGTCTAAAAAAGGGTAAAGATTTTTTTTTTTGACTTCCCTGTATAATGTCCGAGTTTAAGTAACCCTTATAATTCTCAAAATTAATGTGAAGCTCAGTCATTCCATCTTCCTTTACAAAAGAAACCAATTTTATAACAGTTCACCTTTAAATCACAACCAAGGACAAAAAACCAAGGTTCAAAGAAAACAAAAATGACAACCGTTCAATTAAGATCTGTCAATTATTAGCCACTAAACAATGATGGTTTTCAGGGGGAAAAAAAGCTAAAATCCCTATGGCAACCTACACGGTCGTGAAGAATTTCACAATGAATTACGTCGCCCAAGGCAAGCACAGGTGAAACACTCACTACAGCAATTTGGAGTCACTTAAAGTGCTGGCCAAATCATAAACTGATGTCTTCATATGTCAGGATGAATACTCCATTACTTTATGAAGTGATTACTTGCATGTCCCCGTTAGCAAGTTCAACAGAAATTTTGGACACCGGGACGAAAACAAGCTAACACCCACGATATACTAGCTGATAATGCATCAATGTGTGTGTGTGATGAAATTAACGTATGTTTCTCAATCCCTGCTGCCTGTAGATGTACAATATCACTTTCTTTAATTAATGACTCCGTTTTAACTTTACGGTTTAAGGTACAATGTTCATGAACTTGAATTTGGTTAATTTCTCTAGGTGATTGTCAATTTTTTTTTTAAATATTCGTGATGTTTCTTTTCTTAACCAAAGTCCCACAATGACAGCCAGCATGGTTACATTTAATAAAATATAAAAAAATATATTGAACCCGTAAACAATTAAAAACAATTAAGCACACACAATGGATTCAGAATGGCTATTCGAAGGGAGGGTTCAAAAGGGATTCTTTTAAAATCCGGAAATCAAGGAAAAACCGGACAAAAAATCCTGAAAATAAGGAAAAATTGTGAGAAATCTCTGAAGTGACAGTCAATCAGTGAGTCAGTCAATCAGTCAGGTGGTCAGTCAGCTAGTCACTGAGGTACCTTAGGCCTTTTCACAGTAGACAAATCTTGGTGTTGACGCGGGGTTGACGCAGGGTTGAAAACATGCAATGTTTCACACATGAACATTTTTTAACCCTGAGGTTGATTTCGCCCTAGGTTGAACTCAACCCTGCTCCAGACCAGGTTTAAGATTTTCAACCTGGGGTTGAAACCCTCGCCAGGGTTCAACACAGTACTTACTGAGTGAAATCAGCTTGGTTTGCACACAACAAGTGTGAAACGATGCAGTGTTGAACGCGGGGTTGAAAAATAAAAAAGTAAACCCTGGGGGCACTGGGTTCACCCAGGATCGAGTTCAACGCGGGTTGAGGGGTTCTAGTGTGAAAAGGTCTAAACAGGACTTTAGGCTGGCACCTCTGGGTCCATTAAAAAAAAGGGATCAACGCTTTAAGACAAATTCATATTTGACTTACGACAAGGCCCAGTGCTGCAGTTCTTCTTTTCCTTCTGCTTGCCGCACGCCTGGCCACCGTGGCGTGCCTTCTGTTTTACCATGCGCTGTCGTCTCATGGTCCCCTTGCCGCAGGATCGCGAGCACTCGGTCCAGTCACTCCATGGCGACATCATGCAGTCAATGGGCTGGCGACCTGACAAACAAACAGACTTATCGATTGAACTACATTTGAAATAGTTTATTGGGTGGGGGGGGGGGGGGGGGTGAGAGGAGCAACAGGGGACCATGGCCTCAGCCCCTAACCAAGTGCTATTACTTTTTTGGTAGTTACATGCAAAGAATTAAGCACTTGTACAAGTAACAAAATTTGTACTTGATTGGAAGAAAAAAAAAATTGGCAAGTCAGCCCTCATAAGTTTACATCAACGCCGGATATGGGCTCCGTTTACAAGTATCCCCTCAACGGCAAGGAGGGAGAGTTGGGGGAGACCACCAGAGAGACGGGAGGAGACATTCGAACGCCGATGACGCCTGACGCTCACGCAAAGATGCTAGGGCTTAGTGCACATTCACAATAAAAATAAGTTGTGCGTGCTTTGCACTTTACATGCTTGAACCAGTATGCACATATGGTTTGTTCCATCCACGGGCGCTCAAAAGTGGTAAAAAAGCACCCTCTCTTTTGTGCGCACGGAGCCGCCCAAACAGTTCCAACAATAATCAAGTCAACAAAGGGCAAAATGCTGCAAATCACTCAGAATAACAATTATTAAAAAGTCAATAAGTTATGTAATGTAAAGCCATCTTAAATCGACATTTCAAAAAAAATAAAAATAATAACAAGCGGTCCACGGACCGCATATGTCGCCTTTTTCCGCGGTTAATCCCTAGATGTTTTGTGTTTTTACAAAAAGTCAAATTTTGTTCCTTTTTAAACAACGACCTCATATGACCCCCACATGACCTTTGACCTCAGTAATCTGATGAGGAATTGTGTGTTCCCACCAAAAGGTCAGTATATCCAAGTTTCATCAAAATCCGTGAAAGTATGTAGAAGTTATACATTTTTTTTTAACATACAGACGACGGTCATACGGAGATACGGACATGCAGAATTTAGGACTGGTAAGTGTCTCCCAAAACCATTCGCTTGGGCGACAAAATAATAGCAATGTGATAACAGAAAGTTGATATCCCCCATATGCTACAGTAAAAGCTGTTACCGTGGATACTAAACCTGAATCAAGGTGATTTAAATATCACTCTAAGGATTTACTACCGGGAGAGGAAATCGTTGAATAGTGGATGACTGATGAAAGGACTGTGATCAGATGATAATGCAACAGAGACTGTCTGATGCAAGGAACAGGCAATAAAGAGGGACAAACCAGAAATGCAAGCCAACAACCTCGGCCGTAAATGCTTCTTGTGGACAAAACACATGACCTGAAACCCAGACGTCATGAAACCCAGACAAAGTAACACAAAATGTTTTCACATAAAGGGTGGTCATTTCAGGGTAGACCTAAACGTTTTTTGTTTTTTTTTCCTGAATTAGCAACTATGAATTTACCATCTCCCCCCCCCCCCCCAAATGAATATAATCCATCAAGCTGTACTGTGGATTTACTGTTAAAAAAAGTGTATCGAAATTTATACAAAATAAATTTTAATATATAGCGTACGTATCTGTCAACAATTAGGTACTCAAGGCGCTGGAAATTATGTCAATTATTCAAGACAGGTATATGAGGTTTATGAGAAATATGAGACCCATTGTTTAGCACCTTTATAGGGGTTTACAAGGTGCTGCGGGGCATATTGCAGCCACTGCCAGAAACACCGGGGCAAACCCCTTCTCTTAGCAATAAGTGTTACTCGGTTCTTTAACGTGCATTACACAACACACGGGACCTACGGCTTGACGTCCTATCCGAAGGATGGAGCATAGCTATGAAAACATTTGTACATCATTATAAAGCTGGGAACCTTGGGAAATTGAAATGCTAAAACCTAAAAAGCAAAACTTGTTTCAGTTTTAAAGACTTGTTTTCATAAAAAAAGAAGATTTTTTGGATGCAAATAATTGAGTAAGGGAAATTTCTCTTTTGTTCCCTTGGGGTAGAGTGGAATACACGTAAATGACGAAATATGAGAACATGTGAAGGCAAAGGAAAAAAATTAAGAAAATTAGTTGGAAGAATGATCATGTTGAAATTAAACAGTTGCAAGGTATTTGTCAAAATGGAATATTTTAACAATTGAAAGCCGGAGTTGATACTTACCGCCTGTTTTGGCATGTTTGGGTGGCATTGTCACAGGAATATCCTCTCCTTCATTAGGCACTGTAGACAATAAATATTACAAATCACCTGTTGCAGTATCATACATAGATATATATACATACATGTACATATGCACAAAAGTTGTATTTGGAAACAAAGTTCTGCACCAAAGGTTTTAAACCAGGTTATTAAAGCAAAAAAATCTTATCTCACATCATAGATAATCAACTATGCAGACTCAAAAACCTATTCAGAGAATTTTGTTCTCGGGAATTTCTGGCATGATGGAAATGAGATGGAACTGGGCACAGGCCGAATTGGAGAAAAATAGAAAAATAGAAAAAAAATGATTGGGCTGATTTTTTTTTCAATTTTGCAGATTTATTGATATTTGTAATCTTTGATATGTCTACTACCCATCCTTTACAGATATAGTATAAAACTAAGTAAAAGTACTTCTTTAGGAAAAACAATTGGACTCTTCCATTTTCAAGGCTACAAAAGTCAAAACTTTGAAGGCCTTTTTCTCAGTATTTCACTTTTTTGACATGTCGATAAACGCAAACTTTAAACAGCCATAACTTGTCAACGAAATGTCCAATTGAAGTGCAACAAACAGTATTGTAAGGAGAATTTTATTCTCTTTCATAATACCCGTAAACCCTCATTTCGACCTCTGCCAAGTTCTGTCTTATTTTGCAAAAAATCCTCACATACTTGAACTTTTGGTTCCATTCAGGCATTTTTTTTTTTAGAGGAATCCAACCTGAATCTAACAGATCCAACACCCAGTGTATCCCAATGGGGGTACTTACTGACTTTGGGAGGCATGGTGATATCCCCCTCGGGTACTGGTTTCTTCATCATTGGGGTCGTCACGTTGCTCAGCTCACCTCCTTTGTTCATCATACCCGGTTTGGGAGGCATTATCTCCCCATCGGGGGATGGAATCATACCCTCCTTGGGTGGCATCATACCCTCTTTGGGAGGCATCATTGTACCCGCTTTAGGGGGCATCATACCCTCTTTAGGAGGCATCATCGTACCCGCTTTAGGGGGCATCATACCCTCTTTTGGTGGCATCATACCCTCTTTGGGTGGCATTCCACCCCCACCTATAGAAACATTACAATTGAAAAAAAAAATCCCAGCTATTTACTATTGCAAGGGTATGAAACAGAAAAGCATTGAAAACACAAATTTTTGCGTAGATTTGGAGTACAAAACAACTGTAACTGGGAGAAAATAATGAACTCGATCTGCATTAAATAAAACACAAAAATTTACGGCCCTATGAAATTAAGTCTTCAGCTATTTATTAAGGACAGGCTTTCAATGTTAAGCATATAGCACAATTTGCAGACATCTCCATCCAGATATTATGATGAAAATTTTAGGAAAAAACCTAGGAAAAATGAAGTACATTTTTTTATCTGTCATTTTTTTTCCTTGGAGATTGCCAAGAAAAAGTTGGCAGTAAATTGCCTTACATGAAATTTGTTCTACCCGTGCACTTCAACATATTCAATTTTTTACTCCTGTAAGGAATATGCATGTTTTAATTTAACAGAAATATCTACTTTTTCAAATGAACATTTTCAACCCTCTGAAAATACGTTTTTATTTGGGTTGCTTTTGCGCAAAATAATATGCCTGAATTATTGTCAGCCTTGATATTTCAAAATTTGTAAAGTAAATATTTTCGTAACTAAATGTGACCTGTTCTGTCAAAAGCAGACGCTTCTGGGCAGAGGTTGAAATTGAAATAGTGCCCAAAAAACGCTGTGGGGGTGATTTTTGTGATGTTAGTGGTCATTTTCTCTGTTTTCTACTTTTCGACACAATGAACTTCAAAATAGCATAACTCTGCCCAGGAATTTACAGGTTTCAAAAATTAAACCACCTATTAAAAGGAAAATGTACATATTTTAACAATATGCAAAAATCTCATTTTCGACCTTATGCCCAGAAAAGTCTGATTTTGACAGAACAGGTGACAAATGTGGGTGGATTTTTTGCTCAATTTCTTTGAATTACTTTTTTATTTAAAAAACAACATATACATTTTTTTGGGTGAAACTCATAAAATGGGGAGAACAACTTTACAAAGATCAAAGTGACCTAGTGCTTACCAGTATGTGTCGCATCAGGACCCCCTACATCCACCTCACAGACCACCTCCCCAAGGTCATCATACAGGGTGTTGTCCGTCCTCTCAAAGACCAGGATGGCCATGGGCGGGATGGGCCGGCCCATGGGGTCATAGAAGGCACCCAGTGGGTTGGAGGGGAAGGAACTGGTGATGGGGTGGATAGGCTCGATGGGGACGGTCGGGGCGTTGTCCGACTGTGGTGGAAAGAGGACAGTAGAAAACTTGATGTATGCAATGAAACAGGAGTACTGTTTGTTACCTGCATTCCCTTTTATGGACTTGGCATTCTCCTGGCGCCAGGATTATTTTTGCCAACAGTTTTGATTTTCGCAAAAGGTAAAATTTTCCAGCCAACTTCTGACAAACAGCCAAATGCCACAAATACTGATTCGCAAGATTCATTTCAACAGTATTTGTATGATATTTCTTGCCGAAACCTCGTATGTTTCAATACTCTGGGGTGTGCACTGGAGCGTTAATTGTACAACAATAGGCCGCGAACGACAGCCAATTCAAGATCAAGACACGGTCCGCCTCCACAGACTTCACGGACTTTGTGGGTGTGTACAAAAGGCACGAGGGATTAACGTGTTTAGATGTCACCGGGAGGCGAGTCCAGGCAATCTTGACGTCTTAACCCGTCAGCCGTGCCCGTGTGTAAAAACAGCCAGTGCGCGTTATCGTGTCCCGTTGAGAAGGTACAGTCCATACCTACCCTGAACGTTATCCCACTGTCCGTGCCGGCATCCCACGGCAGCAGGTCAATCTCCAGCCTTTGTAGCCAATCGCAGTCGGCCGTGCACAGGTTGACGCGGGACACCCCGACGCACCAGTCCGGGCTGGGGCCGATCATGGACAGCGTGGAGACCAGGTTGTGGGTGCGATTGACACTGAGAACAGCCGACATGTTGCCGCGGGCCGGCCACAGGCCCCGACTGCGAATGACTGTCTTGATGTTTCTTGTCTGTTAAAAAAAAAAATCAACTGAATGACAAAGAGTGAAGAAAAATTACACTGCAAAACCTGATGTAAGAAGCTAGCCCTTGTGTCCTTTTCTTCTTATCATGTACTCCTTCAATGTCTAGGAAATATGGATTCCCTGTACAATGGGGAGGAAAAAACTTGTGGAGGAATTTCAGTGATACTACTGAAACATGACACAGTTCTTTGGTCATCACCTCATCAAATCTTTAATCCGCTGTCAAATTTATCTACACTTGGTGAATTCATTATTAACCAATGGAGTGTATACTTAACTTCTCTCTAAGACTTTAAAAAGAGGGAAAAAATACAAAACAAAGAAATGTGAATGCCAAGAATCGATCAAAACTCAAAATAATTTCAAGTAATATAGGAAAAAATAGTCATTTGTGACACAAATGAATTCTTTAAAGAAAAACATGGTTAAATGAGATGAGATAAACCATAACCTTTACTTAGTCTTCATGGTATGGCCATTATAACTGTCTGTGGGTACATCAAGCCATTTATCATCTCAAATGGGTGACCCTGGAGATGACAAGCCTATATCTTAGCTCAAAGTTTATTGCTTTAATTTCGTCAGAATAAGGCCATAAATTCCATACCCTGAGAGTTGTTGAACCATTAAGAATGAACTTTGCCACTGACTAATTGCCCACTGTGGACTTAAAGCAACAATTTGGGAAGGCAAAAATGTCAAGAGTGTATAGGGCTAGGGTTAATTTTTTTTTTACCCATGAATTAGACAAAAATTACCTGTGCTAATATTTCCCTCTCCAGTGTAGTTGGCGAACCCCATTCTGCGACTCTTTGCACACCCAGTGAGGCATAACCCCCGTATTTCCAAATGGTGTAGTCCTTTGTGTGGGATGCACCAATCAGATCAGACCAATGATCACCATGGCCTTCATTCAAGGGGGGAAATAAAGAGGATTAAGAATACTTGAGAATACTCAAATCACAGTTAAAAATACTACTACTACTAATAATGTAGGTATTTTTATAAAGCGCAATAATCCACCCTTAACCCCTAGTCACTGTTGAGCCTGAAACCGCTGAAGCACTCTATGGTTTGATTGATTATTCAGTAAATAAACGCAATCCCTACAGGTGCTAATGGTTTAATGGCGCTGAAGGCGCTACATCATTATTACCATGCTCATTGGGCCAGTGAAACATTCCAAAGACAATCTCAGCTCCCTGGGGAGTATACATCTATTGTGCATTTACGGGTAGTACAGGAACCCGGTACCCGATTGAAAAAAAAAAAAAAACACGGGTACCCGGGTACCCGTTAAAGAAACCAAACGCCAAACATGCCAAAATTCAAATCTCGGATAGTTGCTGTTGAGATTGTTTACAAAGGTCAGCACGATAATACTACCACATCGGCGCATCATTACAGCAAGATACAAGTGTGTACAGTGAGCTTTATAGCCTTACGGTGTAAACTGCAGCTTTCGCGAGCATCAGAAATGTGAAATATGTTTTGTTTTCCCATGTGGCCTGGTTTTCATTTTGAAAATTCCCCACAAATGACTTCAAAACCTTCATTGTCTGAAAACTTTCATTTTCTGAAAAGTAACCACATGTAAGTAATTTGTAAAGTTGCTTACGGGTACCCAATCCCATAATCTAGAACCGGTTCCTGACATTAACGGTCGGGTACCCAGGTACCTGGTTCCGATGCACAGCCCTAACAATCAATCACAGCTGCATTAAATACCCATTTACTCCTGGGTGGGGGGAAAGCAATGAGTGGCATACTTGTAGTGCCTTGCCCAAGGACACAGCACCACAACCCCAGGCTGGACTCGAACCCACACCCTGGAGAACTACCCGCAGACTACGAGTTCAATGAAATCTAGCAGGTTATGTGAATTGAGACACCCAGGCTATATGCTATGCAACAGAAACTGGTTGCTAGTTGTACATCTACAATACTAAAACCCTCACAACAAATGAATCAATGAAGGGCAAAAACCTAATTTTGATTTACATCACCCAAACGCAAATTCATCTTATGAAGAGTTTAATTGCAGTATCGGCTGCTACATGTACATCAGATTCGAACCAGCCAATCAATCCCGCAAGCACGGTGGTCGAGTGGTGAGACGTCTGCACTAAAAAGCAGGAGGTCATGGGTTCGAGTCCCACCCGAGTGATTTTTTCTAACTTTCACTCAGGAGGTAACACACTGAGTATACAGTGTTTATATGTCGGTGAAGGGTAAAAACCTAATATTGATTTATAACAAATGAATCATTTGACGCATTCTGTGAGAGGCTGATGTAAAACCTCATATCAGCCAACACTTCAGGACCAGTGATTTCTCACTGCTTTCCCGCAAACCGTGTTGCAAGTTGATAATACTGTACCTCCAGGGAAGTCCTTAGGGTGCGTTTCTTGGGACCAGAGTCCCCGCATTGTGACTGTGTACTTGGCCGTGTGGCAGGCACAGCACTCAATGTTAGCATCCTCATCAACAGTGTTGGTCTGCGGTGGCACCGATGCGGCAACATCTGAGTATGGCAAGTGTTTAAATAAGTGACAATGAAAACAAGTACAAAAAAAGGATGAAAACAGGACATTAAAATGAAGAGGCTTTGGGGTTCAAGAGCTACAACTCTATTTCCAGTAGAAAAACAAATTGTCCCTAATACATGGTTTACGCCAGAAAATTTTAGTCAGGATAACTTGGATTACAGATTTTTTTTTTCAAGATCCAAAGTTGGGAAAAAAATTTCAATGAGTGGGGGCACCCCATTCAGTACCCAGAATTTGGACACAGTACCAACTCACAAAGTGCTAAGACAAAAATATGTTATGGTAATTCTACTTTTTTTTGCAAGAAAGTTATCAAAACTTGTCTGGTAAAATTATCAGAAATTACCTTAACAATCCCCACCCAGTCAAACTCCAACACCAGGGTTTGTTGGAATCTTTTGGAGTGAGTACTGCACTGTTTGAGTGAGGAAGGGTCCTAGTAAATCACTCTAAGGGGGTTAGGGTTAATTTAGGTACAAATTAAGGCTTAAAACAAAGGAAATTCTAACAGGGACAACACAGTTTGCATTGCACATACAAGTATATGAAAAATCCTGCCATGTTTAATACTGTATCATTGCAAATAAAGAGCACAGAAACATCACAATTCATGTGTGAAAACATAGAAAAATACGAACACAGGGCAGGAGAATTCAAGTCTGAAGACTGAACAGTTTGCCGATTACAATATTTGGAACACAATATTTCCATTCACAATGACGCCCTGTTTGACTGCTAAACACATACCTTCTTCACAGAGCCAGAGGGTCAGGCCCCGTTCATCTTTGTACCATATCTGCTTCTTCTGAACGGCCGCAGCCCTGATAGAAAAATACAAACAAATCATCAGAGAATTCAAGTCAAGCAATCCTCAAGAAACAACAAGAACATCTGCACTACAACACGGCAGAATGCCACATGTTGTACAAGTGAAAAATCTGTCAAATAAGCCACAAAGGGGAACTGACTAGGAGCAATTGTAATAATTATAAGGTTGAACAAAGAAATTAACTGGAGCGGGGTTTGAACCTGCGACCTCCGGATTGCCGTTCCGGTGCTCTACCAACTCAGCTATCCAGCTATGTTGGCGGTTCCCCTACTTGTCAATGTATTAATTGTGCAAGGGTGCTAGTCAGAAACCATTAACCATAGCTACAATGTGCCATATAACCAGGGATCATGCCCAGTCACAAAACTAGCAACATTAACAATGCTGTGAAAATTTTTTACAAGATCTGGAGTGTATCAATAAGGAAAAAGGGGACCGAGTATGAATGTACATGTACATTTCGGTAAAAGGAGATGAAAAGAGAAGCACCAGGAGGGACCCTACATGTACATGTACATTTAAATGTAAAAAATGTGAGTGTACAAAGTTTGAGTATAGGAGTGGCAAAATTAACAGGCTCGGGGCATAGTACAAATATACACTTCCACTCTCCCTGGAAAATCAATCTGAAAAGACATCATACTTGATTGCACTCATCTATTCACAGATCTGGAGCATCGTTCCCAATTTTCTTACGCACACATGAAGTTGGTCACGTGTGTTCCATTAAAGTCATTAGCTAAATCAAGAGGGAAAACAGGTTGACAAATGAGGTTCGTTCCAAGCGGACTGAAAAGGCTGCAACTGTCACAGATGGTGTGATCTTTGAAGAAGAAAAAAATTGGTAAGCTGTGATGATGTCTGTGAATTACCACACACAAGTCACCAGCATTTCTAGACTTTTCTTTCTGGTTGGGGCATCCATTTTAAAAAACAGGAAGGGGCAAGAACGACAAGAGTGTCATATATTGTGCATCATGTAACGAATTTGTTTTTGAAAATGAATAAAAGTGCTGTTAACTGCTTTCTGACTGGATACAAATCAAGAAACTTAAGACGGCCTGACGTTGCGATCTTAACAATAATCTCCCTTTGAGGCAAATTTATTTTTGGAAATCCTTCCTCTTTTAGGGACAAAATCACATTTTGGAATGCGATGATGCAGTTCCCACAGAAGTCTTGAAATGAAATTCAATGATTTTTTCATGACTTTTCCAGGACAAAATGAGGGCTCTAATTTCCCTGGCCAATTCCTACGCTGTTTTGTCATCTTGGGAACCTATTGCTCTGGAGGCAAGGGGCACCACTCCCTTTTAGCCCTTCAGTTTGGCGCAGTACCACAAAAGCATCACAATTGTGCACTGAACGAGATATACATCATACATGTACAATTCAATTCAATTTATTTATTCTCATCATGTAAAAAAAGGTATACAAGGAAATATAAGTAAGATTTGAGGCTTTGCATGGTGGAGATACTAAATAATGAAAGGTTTTCGGAAACACCATGTGCGAATAATTTCTCAACTAAGAGAATGGTTCTGAAAAGAACCAGAGGTATAAACTCGACGTTTCGGTCAGTATGCTCTGACCGTCTCTCCTGAAGACGGTCAGAGCATACTGACCGGAACGTCAAGTTTATACCTCTGGTTCTTTTCAGAACCATTCTCTTAGTTGAGAAATTATTCGCACATGGTGTTTCCGAAAACCTTTCATTATTAAGGAAATATAACAAACTGGAATGCAAACTGGAAGACTGCCATAGCCAAATATTAAGCCAAACATCACAACAAAGGGGTTGTGCAGGATTCTATGACTTTTTTTCTTGAAATACTAACTTCCATGACTCCAATCCATGACTTTCCCATAACTTTCCATGATAGCTTTAAATTTCCAGGATTTGCAAGGGTTTTTTCACAACCATGGGAACCCTGAATACGGTACTTGCCCCACTTCCCACACACTGATCTTCTACTGGTTATCATTAGGAAGAAGGATTAACGATTTACTTGAAGTTGACGCAGCCGGTGCCGGCCGGCGGTGCGATCCATCTGAATGTCACCGATGTCTTGGAGGCCTTGGATGTGTGGATGAGAAGCTCCGGACAATTGATGGTGTCGGGGGAAAACTGGGCCAGACGATCGTCAACAATCTGAAATGAGAAATCACAAGCAAATGACCAATTTTTTAATTTATCTACTGCATTTTCAATTATGTATGTGGGATCATATATACTTTTTGCGCATTTCAGAAGTTTAATTGCCCAAGAAACATATGATGATGAAATCAATCTTAAAGGTATATTTGTATATTTATACAACTTTACTTTTGCTCTGATTTTTAGAACTGGATGGATTTGGGGGTTAGTATTTTATAGCAAATATCAATTGTTACACTGTCCTGTTTAAAGTTTTGTTTTCATAGATGCTGGAAAAATCAAAGAAAAAAATGCTATTATTTTAGTCTGGTTCCCTGACCCTACTTCAGACGAAATGGGGCAATTTATAGGCGTCAGGGAATTGTCAGGTCAGGGAACCAGACTAGCTGACTTGCATCCATTCACGGATGTGTAACTGATTACAAACAACATGTGGTCTAACTTTTTTCCCGACAATGGTCGGCCACCGATCATTGGAAAATTGATACAGAAATTCCACTTTTCTTGAAAATGACAGCACACAAGGTGCCATGATTTCACAGGATGCTTGAGTCTATTATCAACTTACAGTCCAGGAAGGTATTTCATAATAGTTTGGTATTTTTGTTTTTTTGGTGTTTGCAAATGTTGTATTTATAAAACATTAATATCAGCAAAGAAAAGACAAAATGAAAAAAAAAAGTTCAAAAATTTGCTGAATCCCTTCAGTTGATTTTGGTATTCCATAAATTTTTACTTTTCATTATTACTTATTTTACTTTTCAAAAAAGAAATTAATGTAAATGTATGTGTACTGTGAATCAATGCTTTTCAATTTGAAGCTTATCATAAACAGCATTATGTAGGTATTCTGCAGTGGCCGACAGAACTAGCAACATAAAACTTAATGTACCGATGTACATACATGTACATGTACAGGTACGTGTAACTTTAAACAACCTTCGCTGTGCCAGATTGATTTGTTTTTCACCTGGACAGTATGCATTTAAATGGGACCGTAATCAATTTGTCAATACGTTTGTTTGCCTCATACAGGCTTAATTAAGATGAATGGCAAGGATCTGTGTTGTCTAAATGAGATTTAGTGATTACCATAATTCCCCTGATGAACAGGTTTTCTGTGCCAATTGTTTTCATAAACCGATCTTCATTTTTGACATGCTTATAATTTTAAAACACTCAAATGAATTCTATATATGTAAAAACCTCTAAACAAATGTAGATTGGTTTAGTTATCTATTACATGATTAATTTATTTTGTCGAAGTTATGTATTGTATTCAGAATATCTATAGCTTCATCAGTGGTTGGTTTATTCCTTTATCTATAAATTATAATTTATCTCAAATTGTTGGATTGTTCTGATACTTTGACACTGTCAATAAATCTTGATTCTGACTTTCATGGTATTCTATATTGTTTTTGTACATGAACATTTGTGCATGCACCAGTACCGGGTACATTTTTCACTGCACATTATGTTTGTACATGCCATACACAATATTTGTCATTACCAATTCTGCTTCTGAAGGTTTTTTAATCTTAAGTTCTTCATTCCAACTGTAATACATATTGGCAGTGCGTCTTTAAAAATCATCTGTGACTGTAGAATATGAAACAACTCAAATGATGAGATGTGTTCTTTTCTAGCAATTCTTCTTACAATTGTTTCTTTTGCTGACTGTTGTCTTCCTCTGTAAAACGAATGCCAAGCCAAGGAGGGAGAAATGAGAGAAATGAAAGGAATGGAATTGATTCCAATCGTTACTCCATTCCTCGGCCGGTTCCATGGTAGGGGGTGCCGGTCATGCGATACACAGGCTCAATAGTCTAAAACAAATGTCAAGTGGCTGAGGTGTCGCGCAAGTGTGTGAAATGTTACACCACTTGCTACCAAGAAGTATGCAGGCCACACATGTACAGTACATCTACTAGGTATGTACAGAGAACCAACAGGACCGTATACAACATTGGCAAACATAAAAAAACATAACTACCAAATTATTATCAAATATCTTACTTGACTGTAAGTGAATAATAGTATCAAGTATCCTGTGAAATCATGGCACCTGGTGTGCTGTCTTTTTCAACATAAGTAGAAATTTTGCATCAATTTTCATTTGTACTTGGTTTGTAATTGGGCAAATTAGTGAATGGGTGTAAACGTTGACACTGAATTGACTATGACAAACATGTATTGATTCTGAACAAATGATCAGCATGGCACCGAGTGCAGTGGTCATTTGTGATCAATATCATCAAGGAGAACAAATAGCACAAGCACACAAGTTTTGTTTTTGAGTGAAACAGAGTCACAGTGTTTTTTCCCTAGTACAAACAGTTAAGCAATAGATTGAACAAAACTTAATGTTTCTGAGCCATGAGTATTGGGGGGTAAGTGCTAGTGAAAAAGGGCATTTGAATGGAAAAGGGCAGTCTTTACAAAATATTGGGGGGGGGGGGAGGTAAATACCCCCTTTCCTCCCCCTGGCTACACCTATGACATAGGAGAAAATTACTTTTGCAATATTTAGGCCTATTACAGCTAATGTGTCTGCATATCACATTAAAGCCCCAACAAAACTCGACTGCAACCTTATGAATAAGGCAAATCCGATAATGAAGTTTCAGCAAAAATTGTGTGTACATTTTTTTGTATGCACTATTTTAAAAAATTACAAACCTGTGCTGCACAAACATAGCATAGGCCTACAGTAGGTGTTCCTTGCTCTATGGTGTTACCATGTACATGTACATGTGAAAGTTGATGGCCTTAATTTTGACTATTTCTCAAGAAAACAAGGAATTAGGTCTTTTTTAACTCAGCCTTTTTGAAAATTGGTGTTTCACTAAGTTAAATTTCTGGGGGGGGGGGGGCAATCTGGGGGTGCACACATTTTTCAAGGGGTTGGGGGGGCACAGAAGGCAACTGATATACGGTTTTAGTGCAATTCAACCCCCCCCCCCCCCCAATAGTTGCGGCACTGCTTCAACCATGCAGTGTACTCATTACTGTACTCAAACACGTACTGTACTGTACCTCAAACAGTGAGATTCAATTTCCAAGTAAACATTTCTGATGGCAATTGAGATTGCAACAATTGACCTCTACAGAAAAAAAAATCTGTAGTGTATGCCCAACACAATTCAAGATTCAATTTCCAAGTACGTAGCCTATACAAGAATATGTAAATGCTCTGTTCCTGATGGCAAAAGAGATTGCAACAATTAAGGTCCCCCCTCTCTTAATGTCTGTCCCCCCAGACCATGCAGCCTTTCTATTATTATTTGCGTTGGCAGAGGGCTTTTCAGCTCTGTGGTGTTTGGATGGGGGAAACCCAAGTTAAAACGTGCATTAGTAAAACAAACATTGTTGTGTGCATGTTAAACCCTGGAGGTACGGGTACAATGGTTAAACTTACAGTGAGTAATGACTGGAGGGTATTCCTATATTGGAATCGTGGAGAAAGGCAAGAGTGATTGATGCATCAAGAAGATCAAGACACAATGCACATAACCATTGGACGTGTACAGCACATCTAACCCTAACTCCACAGGCATTTTTGCTAGGATGCAACCTCAATCCTGCAAATCATCCTCCAACTTCCATGTCAAAATTTCACACAGCCTCAATCCTGCAAAATCCTCTGTTATTTTTGGAGTGTGGTCCTTGGAGGGGCAACCACTGCCTCAATCCTGCAAAATCTTCCAGCAATCACTGCCAATATGTTGAGGCAGAGCAAGTGACATCCTGGAGCTGTGCAGAGGATTTTTAAAGTATAATTGAGGCCTACATTTATGCATGGCTGAGCATAAACAACACGTGATCCGGCCCAAGACCCTGACAAAGTGCATCCTCCAAAAAATCAGCAACACCTTTTTGCCATACATATACATGTAGCCTCAATCCTGCAAAATCCTCCATTTTGCAAAGAGGACTTTGGAGGATTTGGGAAGGTTAGGGTTGAGGCCAAGTAAAAAACTTTTTCTCGTCCCCACCCGCTTCCTTTTTCGTGTCCTGTGGTGCATATTGCATGATGTGGCGCAGTGCATATTGCGCGATGTGTTTAGTGTTTACCGGCGGTTTAAACCATCCACGTGACAGGCTCTCGACCAATAGGAATGGGTAAACTGTCTCAGGTATTTATGAACACAGGATAAAAATCACATCACAGATGTTAAATTCTTCATTTTCTCAAGACCGCTCACATTTTTACAAGAATCTAATCCAAAAAGATGCTTTTCAGATGATCAAATATTGGGTACGTTAGGCATTAGCCCTATTTTGCGTTGCTGACCTTATCCTTGACACAGCCTATAATTCAGTCTATAATATAAACTGACATCACAATTCAGTCTGTAGTGTAACTGACATCACACACACACATAACACCCTATCCCTCGTTATCTGTTCATCCTGATCTTCCCGAGCATCAGTCAAATGATAAACTGCATCACGATGTTTGTTATTCTTGGCACTGAGGTCCAATGCATCAAGGACGGTTGCCCTAAACCAATAACGAAACTAATTGCCCTTACAATGATAACACTACCTTCACCAACACGTCTTTTTTCTTTTCTTAAAGGCCTTAAATACTCGGCATGAATGCAAGCGCAGTGTAAATTTGTGACGTCGTGGCAAGAGCAATTATTCCCTGCTGCAAAATTCACAAAAGTGAAAACATTTCAACATCAGCAAATTTTATTTTAGCAGCAAATGCTTCATGACGTCAAATCTGACTTGTATTCGTAATCGTGTGAAGTAATAACAAGCCTTAATTCCAAAGAACTCTCTGAATGTTCCTAGTGTGCCGAGGTTACTATACACCACAAAATTATTTTCAAAAAGCACAAATTTTGTTATTCTTCGGTTTCTGGGCAATGAGGGCCCGTCCCAATTCATATCCAGGATGAGTCCCAAAACAAGCTGCAGGGTAGAATCATTCACTCTTAGTTGGGGAGGAATATAGGGTTCCCATGCACCCCCTGGATATATTTTTCTAACCTACTTTTTTTGCAATCCTCAAGGTGTCTAGTGAACGAATTTTGATGTTCCCAAGATCAAATATTGTCCCATGGGGTTCATTTGGCAGCCATCTTGGTGGCCATCTTGGATTTTGACGAAAATCAGTTATTTGACATAACTTTTGAACCAGGCATCATATTTGTCCGGAAGACGCTCTGTATTTATCCGGGACACGTTACGGAAATTTTTAATTGGCAACTGCTTGACTCACCAATACTGATACATGTAACTTCCTTGTGGGAAAAATGTGGGGAAGTTGTTTAGGATCCTGCAACTTATACCCGATACAAGGTCCCCAATTTGTCCAGAACTCGTCCCCAGATATGAATTGAGAAGGGCCCTTGGTTTTAACTTCACTCCTGAAAACTGGACAGACAACTGTACAGTATTCAGTCAAGGGAAAAAAATGTGTACAGTCTATCCTCTGTATCCTCATTCTCATCGTGTGTGATATTTTGAAGGCCTTATCCTAAAACAAAAAGAGTCACTCCTTTTAAAATTAGGTCGTAAGGAGACAAGAAATCACCATTTAAAACATTTGTGAGTTGTTACTGGGTTGTTAAAAAAAAAGAAGAAGAATGAAACAAACAATAAGGTCTCAGATTGATGGTGTCCCAAAAGGTTTGAAATCTGGTCGTCCTATATAGGCCTTTTCACACTAGAACCTTTCAACCCGGGTTGAACTCAATCCAAGGCAAACCTGCAGTGCTGCCCCGGGTTGAGTTTTTGATTTTTCAACCCTGCGTTCTGTGTTGGTTCACACTTGTTTCGTCCAAACCAATCTTATTTCGCTCAGTTACTATACTGTGAGGAATCCTGGCGAGCGTTTCGACCCGGGTTAAAAATATCAACCCTGGTCTGTAGCAGGGTTGAGTTCAACCCGGGGTGAAATGACACAGGGTTGGCTCAGGGTTGAACATTTTCATGTGTGAAACGCGGCATGTTTTCAACCCTGCTTCAAACCCTGCGCCAACCCCGACATTTTTCTAGTGTGAAAAGGCCTCTAGATAACAAACTATTTGGTTTAAAAATAGTTTATCTTAAACTCTTGACACCTTGGCCTACATTTACACAATGCTATTCCCAACAAGGGAAGTCAACCATTTGCAGGAAGTTCCTGTCCATCTGGATTGCTCTTTTAAAAGAGCAATTGCACTGTCGAGGTCAGAATTCATACAAGTACTGTCTTGGAAGCAGTAAATTGCATTTCATACATATGAAATTGTTAAAAGATTGTGTAGCATACCAAGTATTTTTTTTAAATGATGAAATTCCGTATGATGCCTCAGTGCACACCAAAACAGAAACTCACTGAAAAGAAGAATTGATTGATCTATTTATTTAACTTTAAAGTGCATTTGAACACAAATGTTTGTAAAATTTACATTTTCTATGGACTCCGTGCAGTGATCACACACAAACTTTTATAAGGATGTACATGTATAGGCGGACTCTATATTATCATGCAACTCTATGATAACGGCAGTCCTCTTTTTGCGTTGCCAATACTCCTCCGAGAGGCAATATTCATCCAATGCATCGGTAAGGACCTTCTGCTGAGATGTATTAAAAAGAAGACTAAAAAAAGGTAGAGACTTTGAGTACTTTTCATGATTTTTAATAAAACTTCACGTTTTCCTTAACTCACAAATTTTTCCTCACCATGTCTGCCAAAAGGTACCACAAATCTTTAATGGTGCTCTATCCATGGAAGGTCCATGGTTCCCATTCCACAGCTGCAAAGGTTAAATGACATCAAAAAACGATATTTCCACTGCGAAATCGTAAAAACTTGTATGGAATCCAAGTAAGCACTAGCACACACGTTCAATAAACGGTGCACCGTATATAGTGCATGTGTGTCCCCAATCATCAATCAGTACATGTACACTTGTCTCGGTGAATTTTTCCCCCTTTCGGGAGCTGGGATGTTAAGAAATCATAATGCAGGCCTAATCGTCTTAAATCAACTTGGAACTTTATTGGGCCAAAAAAAGAGTCTTCGGTTTCTGGTATACGTGCGCGTCGCTGTAGCCATGCGCGTCGGCAAAATTAAAAGTTTTTTTTTTCAATGTAAGATGATGTCTCAAGACCGCCAAACTCACTGGTTTGACTGGAATCCTGCTGCTGCACAATTTCAACATGTTTTTAGATGGGGTTACGATCGAGTATACATGTAAGCTTCATGTGGCCTCTCTGGTAATTGAACGTCTGTAAGCCAGACTGAGTGAGCGATGGTCATGTATCTGTAACCTGTAAACGCTTATTAATTATAATTAGCACAATATGCAAGGCAGCAAACTTTAGACCAGCCTGGCAGCTCATGCACAAACAGCCTGATGTCGAAGTCGCTGTAGTGTATGGTCCGACGCTACCGTTTTCTCTGATTTTTGTCTTGACTATCCAAATTTCCCGAAGAATGTTCGTGTCGGTCGAGATCGTAAGTGGGTGTAGAATTCTCAAGCCTTATGGCCTTAGTGAGGTCACCTCAAGCTCCATCCTGAAGGAGATTTTTGAGAGTTTTAAGGCGATCGAAGTGTCATCTGCAACATCAGCCGACATTTGAAGAAAAAAAAGTTGGGGAAAAAAAAAAAAAAAAAAACTCGTCGCCGCACCACTTTTGGGGCAATTAAGCTCCATACCAGAACCCGGCAACTTTTTTTTTTTTTTTGCCTTAGGCAATTCACAGACTTTCTTCAGGGGATGTGTAGGTCCAACATCAACTACATGTATGAATAAAAAAGTTCAGGTTGTCGAAGAAACCACTTCCCACCTACTGCGATTATAGAGAGTCTACCTCCGCTCGCATGTCTATTTGCACATTTATCGTACAGGAAATAAATCGAACCACTGCCGGATTTTTTTTATATCAACGTGAAAAGCAAGAGTTAAACAACACAAAAGACGGGACAAATCAGGAAGGTTAGTGAGCAGTCTCAATTCTGATCGGGAAACGTGATAAGTACCGCGATAACACAGTGTCCCGTCCTGCATGCATTACAAAATGTACATTAAATACATGTATTCAATGTACATGCTAGAACAATTAAACCTCAACCAGGTCCATGTGCTGGTAAGTGTATGTGTTGTAATCGCGTCCCACTGGCAGTAAAAAAAACACTTTGTCGAAGATCCTTGAAACGGGAGACTGCCTCATCAAGGCAATTAATAAGAACATCGCAGCGATTGCAGTTGGTACATGCAGGAGTAGCTGCATGCATGTATGTATCTCAAGACAAGTGACACACGCCGAAGACACTTCACAACAACTGGGGAACAGGATCCCCGGTCTTGATGAATTATTGATGCAGATCATGCCATTAAGAATGTGATCCACAAAGCTGGGGCTTACATCATCGGCAAATTCCCTTCATCATCAAATGTCACTGACAGGAGGTTTTAAGGGATTGATCGTTATGTATTCATTGGAATCCCATACAGTATAATGTGTTTACGAGAAACTATGCTCTTGCTGGAATTACAGAGTTTGGCTTTTGTTTTGCTTTTATTTCAAGATGAATTTTGCATGAGCAGCCAGCGTATTGGATTTATGTACTTGTTTAGCATGCATAAAAAGGTGAAATTCCCACGACGACTCACATGGCTCATATACTTGTTTGAATAATGAAATGTTACCATGTTGCAGAGTACACAAATTCACTTTCATGTATGATCTGGACCCAATTATTGACACATTACATAATAGTTCCCAGCCACTTTTTCTAAAGGCACCTTTTTCAATTTCCCCTATCCTGAATAAAAAAAAAAAATCCTGGCGAGACTGCTGTCTCTAACTAAATGTAAAGCCATCCTATTTTAAATTTTAGATCTCTAATGAGAGGAGCAAAAGAAAATCTGCCACTCTGGAATTCTTAAATGCTTGAAGGCCTTACCTCAAAATGCCCCGCTGATGTGGCATCGTCTTCAACCAGTAAACACGCAAAGGTGAACTCACGGAAGGAGACGGGTGGGGTACTGCTCAGCGTCACTGAAACACAACAGTGAAAACAAGGGATTAACCCTGAACTCTCTTAGCTCTCTGGCCTTGAGGCAGCCCGAGTCCTCCGATATCCTCCAACGGCAAAGAGTTCAAAACTCTTAAAGCCCGAGTCCATCATTTGCAGCTATCCAAAAAGTAACCGGCGTAATTATTGTTGAAAAACATACTGGTTGAAAGATGGTGAGGGGACTAAACTCCCTGTGAAATTATCCTTTCTGGCAAGCTCTCATTTTGAAGAAATCAACAAAAGAAGGCATTTCCAACGGTGCTTCTTAAGAAGCACCGTAGGAAAATTTTAATTAGTTGTTCGTTTTGTTATTCGGCGAAGCGCGTGCAAGCATTGGCACGACGCACGAGGTTGCTATAATTCGTTGGATCAGTGCGCAACATCGCGTAAAGCTGCAATTCAAAACAATTCGAAACATGATTTAGCAACTTTTGATTTGAAATTGAGATCCTAGAATGCTGTTTTTCTCGGAATATGAAGCTGAAGCTGAGCTGAAACTTCATCAAGTAAGTTGTTCAGTATCCTTCATTAGATTTTGAACACTTTTGTTGCTTCAAACGAACAAAATGCACTAATTACAAATGATGGACTATAGCTTTAAGCACCTGGCTGAATCCTTCAAAATCATCCACTTTTTGTCACTGGAGGCCCCTGCGTGGATCCTTGGAAATCCTGCACTGGGTAATTAGCTGGCATGTTAATACATAATTGGATTTCAATGCTCTCATGAGTTCACCTGTGTAATTGATTGAAATCCTCCATTGGTATCCTGTATTGTGGATTGGCAATGCCAAGGCCCTAACTGGAGTAAAGAGGCTGTACTGGGTGAGTAAAAAAAAAAGGAAACCCAAATGTCACAACTGTTTTTTTTATGAAGATCTGCATGTAGCACTTTCAAAATCCCAATCAAAAGCCCAATTAATAAGCTTTCGTTTAGTACAAGAATCATTCAAATCACTCATGTACTTTTCCCAAGTTACGGAATTTTAAACACAAACACCGTTTTGAACTTCTGTCCACGGAACACAAACAGGGTAAGTGTTCTTTCAGCAAAATGAAAACAAATTCACATACACCCCTATGTGAATTGTTTTCATTTTGCTGAAAGAACACTTAGGCCTAAATGTACCTTTTTGGTGATCCGTGGACAAAACTTTAAGACGGCGTTTGTGTTCAAAAGTCTGTAACTTGAAAAGTACATGAGTGATTTGAATGATTCTTGTACTAAAAGACAGCTTATTAATTGGGCTTTCGTATCCTAGATTTTTAAAGTGCTACATGCAGAACTTAATTAAATAATGTGTCCTGCCATTTGGGTTTCGTTTTTATTGACTCACCCAGTACAGTGTGCTGGATGCCTACCGAAGTATCTGTACATACGTACATAAGGCAATTAACATCCTGAATCCTCCAAAATCCTGTTTGGCCCCCATCCTGCAAAATCCTCCAGTGCTCAAACAATGAGCAATACGTGACATTTAAACAAATATTCATAAACTTTAATTTGTCATTAAACTGTTCATCTAAATAGTTGTCTGAATTTTAAATTCTAAAAAAGTTTTTAAAAAATAGTGTGGACCTCAAAAACCAAATTAACCTTAAAACATGTACATGTACAATTATATTTTGTGCAATGAAGGTGAATTTCTGATTTATAAATTTAAAAAAAAATTAAAATAGTGTTGGCCTAAATATATTTCAATGTGACAGCAGAATCAATATTCCCCTAGAGTAACTGCAAGCCTCAGTTTTGAACCGAATGCATAGAGAATACCACAGCATTAGCGGATCACATGTAAAGAGCCTGCAGATCCCACAGAGAATAAAGGCCTTTGACGACGGAATTTCTTTAAGCCAGCTTTTAAAATCTTCTTTTGATTTGCCAAAAAACAAGTCCGCTCGTCACACATCCTGAAGAAGACCATAACCCAAAGCCCCTGTGGAAATCAGAAAATACGATACGTGGGTGGAATACATTATTCGTTTGCCGGGAAAAAAGAAAAAAAGAAAGAAGTTTGGAGCTTGCCACTGCCTGTGTGGCGCACACTTAACTTGATAACAGCGATAGTTACTGCGTCGCGGGAGTTGGTTTCATTATTGTGCTCATGAACGGACCACCACAACACATTTGAGTCTCTGGTGAGTTTGGGCTTGTGAGCTTTGCCCGGCAGCTGAGTTGCGGTATTATTGAGCGCGGGCTCCGCGTACACCTGGGAGATGGTTCCAATCCGATTGTTCAAATATTCAGGAGGTAATTACACTGCCAACTTGGCTATTGATGATCAAAAGGTATTATTTATGGTCTTCCGTCGTGCTTGTCCGTGATGCTATTTTGGAAAGTTCATACTGTACACGTATAAAAATATGTTGTTGTTTTTTCATCAACAAAATGTGTTTTACGAATCAAAGAGAATGAAGGGATGGGTGTGTTTCTTATCATTTTCTCAAACACCACATTTGAAAATAGTTTAGTATTTTTTTTTTTTAAAGGATGACAGACACAAATCAAATTTTGCCAATCATTCATTTTACTATTTAATATCCACCAAAATCGATAACATTTTTGGTAAATCTTTGAAGGATTTATAGGCCAAATCCTTCATTCTTAATATCGATCATGTTGCCTTTTGAAGCATATCTAATTGCGTTATGAACCAGTTCGTTTTGATTGAACCATTGATTAGAGTTTGAAGTTATACCAATTTTGTTTTGCACATCTTATAATCTGTATTTTACTTGACCTTTTTTTTTTTATCTTTGTGTAAATCGTTTAATTCCGCCTGTGGGCTGTGACACTGATTTTATTCCTAATAGACCAGTTTCAATTCAATTCAATTCAATACAAATTGTACGTTCAGGTTTTTTAAAAATTTTGTTACTTTGTTCTTGGCAAGAAAGGTGAGAAAAAGCCTAGACCTAGAAAATTTGGTGTTTTGCTACAGCGTTCCCTATATTTTCTTCCAAATGCATGCATCTTGGATCATTCTCCACTTTGTTTTCCCTCTTCAGGATTTCTGTTTCTATTATTTTTTATTTATAGGCCTACTTATTTTATTTGCAAGTCAGATAGCCATGGGCACTTCCAAAGAATCATTACTCTCTCTCTCTCACTTTTGTACCAAAGAATTATAAGTTGTACGTACATGTAGAGTTATAAGGCATACGCATGAGTTATAATGCGTATGTACGGGTCATTATTTGTAAGGTGTACGTACGGGTTATAAGTCGTGCCTACAGGTTTTACTAAGTCGCACGGTTGAGTTAAGTGGACGTCGTAACTACACATTAAACTTAATGTAATTATCTCCAAAACAGCTAGTAGCTCGATAATATCAATAACATTACTTGACAAGAACAGTTAATTTAGATGAATGCTTTGGCTATTTTTTTTACTCTTTTAAACATCGCAACACACCAGTTTAACGATGTTTCTCCCAACAATTTAGCTAGTTTGCATTGGAGGCTGTGTTAACACGCACTGGCTGTTTTTATTACACAGGCACGGCTGACGGGTTAAAACGTCCAGCGTGCCTGGACTAGCCTCCCGCCTTCCGATGAGGTCTAAACACGCTTATCACTTGTGTTTTTTGTACACACACACATATTGTGAAGTCTGTGGAGGCGGACCGTGTGTTGATCTTGAACTGGCTGATGTGCACGGCCTATTGTACAACAATTTAAGCTCCGTTGCACACCCCAGAGCGTTGAAAAATATGAGGTTTCGGCAAGAAATATCGAACAAATACTGTTGAAGGACCCTTGCAAATCAGTATCTGTGGTGTTTGGCTGTAGGCCCTATATATATCAGAAGTTGGCTGCTATATTTTGCCTTTTTCGAAAATTGAAATTTTCAGCAAAAATAATCACGTCCCGATGTGGTTAAGAGAAAACTAACAGCATGCAGCTTTCATCTTGCTTCAGATCTCTAATGTCCCACTTTTGGTTGCCAGCACATGTTGGGCGTCACCGCGTTATGGAATGGTTTTTATTGTTGGGGAAACTACCGCTATGGTAGGACCGAGTTATGGGGATTTTCTGCTGTCCCCATAGCCTCTTCGGTCCCCATCATACCATGGGACAACACGTGTGCAGTCGATCCCCCCACGGTTATGGAACAACAAAGTCTGTCCTTTATACACACACGCATCTATTGATCAAAATTTCAATTTTCCCAGCTGCATTGGAATACACCCAGTCATCCCTGGACTTGAAGAGGATATTTCCCTCTTACCATGGAGGTAGAATTACCTCCATGCTCTTACTAACTCCCAATCCTGACAGTTTCCCATTAAGATTTCACAGTGTATGGCCCTCCAGTCTGCATCACTCAATACAGTCTTACAGGCGTAAGTGCTCTGATAGCATCTTGGGATAACATTGGTCTGGCATGGTATTATTACAGCTGCAGTGTAGCTCTTAATGGTAACTGGTGATACGTAAAATGCACATCACAGGGGGTAATATCCATACCATAGCGACCATTAGAAATGATGTAGTGCGATAAAAAAAAAAAGAAAAAAAAAGCCAAGTCTTCACCATTTGTTACATGGAGCTGTGTTTTATTGCTCCATGATGTACTGCAGGCCTGCCAACTCTTACAAATTGAGCGTGAGACTCACGCATTTCATGTTATTCTCACGCTCTCACACCCACACAGGTTATCACACGCTAAATTTTTTATTAAAAATGACAATAAAAATTAAACTAATCGAGAGATTGACTCCAAACTCGAAAATGATGTTTAAATGGTATTTGGCTAAAACAATTGGTTAAAGTGGTCAGAAATTGCCTCAGATCGCACCACAGAGCGTCTAGAATCCAAAGTTTTTTGGGCCCTTAAGCAGGCCCCGAACCCCATGCCGTTAGGGCTTCGCACTTCGTGCTTCGCGCTCGCATTGGTTCTGATCAAGCTCCATCGCCAAATTATCACTCTCAGCTCTTACTCAAAGATGGTAGCCCAGTGTACACTGCCTGAGCAAAA